TTTTAGAATTACGGAATTCTAAAATTAAATACTCGAAAATTATTGATTGAGAATTAATTATTATTTAAATAATGTGATTTTTTAAATTTGAATTTGAACACATCTAGATTTATCCATTTCAATTTATTTGATAAGTTGTTCAATTTAGAATTCAAATTAATTTAAGTTTGACTTAAATTGGAATTTGAATTTGAGTCAAAATTGGACTACAGGATAAAGGATGATTTTTCTCTTCCTTTCCTATCAGAATTGGCGCCACACACAGGGTTAGAAAACCCTAAGGGTGGCCGGCCATATTAGGGATAATGTGAGGAAATTTTGTTGTTCAAAATTTAAAATTGGAGATAGGGATTTGATTTTGTTTTGAAGTTTGACTTCTACTCTTTAAATATGAGAATGATAGAAAATTGTGGACACAACTTTGAAACGATTTTTTCAGCCCTAATTGTTGGTGGCCGAATTTCTCATTGAAGAAAAAGAGAGCAAAAATATTTTTCTCCAAAAATTCCACATCGTGCATGCGTTGGTGTTTGTGGAAATTCGAGTGTTTAAGAAACCTGTTTTGTCTCACATGTGCCCACACACGCGTCTACATGGAATCAAGGAATTGATGTGGAAGACTTTGGTATTCTAAACACAAACTTGGAGTAAGGACTGTTCGTGGTCAAAGAATTCAAGTTATCATCCAAGTCGGCTTCCAGGTATTTTTCCGGATTGAGTTCTTGATGTAAATTAATGCGATTAATTTATTCGTGCATAAATTAATATAATCTATAGAGTATCTCAAAATTTTTGTGAAAATTTTTGTTATACACGATCCGCCTCTCCCCGCCACGCTTCCGCACCCAAATTTGATTCGGGAACCAACACTTGTCACTACTTTCGTGATAGGGAGGAAAGAAGAGGAGCGGGGGATTTAAGGAGCCCCGAAGACCTTCATATTGCCCTATCCAATATTTCAAATTAACCCTTTATTAATAAGATCTCGCCCCCATAAAAGGCCGGACCAAATATAAGAACTGTTCTGCTTAGGCCGAGTCGACATAAAGGAGTCCAAATGAAAGTACTTAGCCTTGGGCACTTTAACAACTGCTTAATAAGAATTTCCCTTCTTGTCGCCGAGAAAAGCTTGGTTATCCAAAGCTGGAGCTTTTTCTGTTGGTTTTATTTCAGACGCGAAAGTGTGTGAGTAGCAGATCGTATATAATAAAAGTTTTCATAAAATTTTTAAGATACTGTATAGATTATATTAATTTATGCACGAATAAATTAATCACATTAATTTATTTACCAAAAACCGGATTATGAATTATATCTAGCAATCAATCAGGATGATAACTTGTGTTCTTTGACCTCGAACGTTCCTTGCTCCAATGCTAGTTTAGAAAATCATAATCTTTCTCGTCAATTTCTTGAATCTACGAAGACGTGTGTATGGGCACACCTGAAACAAAACGAGATTAGCAAGAACACTCAAGATTTCTACGAACACCAACACATGCACGACGTGAAATTTTTTTGAAGAAAATTTTTTCTTCCCACTCTATAATAAATTCTGCAACTAACACTTAATAGAGCAAAAATTGTCTCTCACAATTTTCTACAATATCATATTTTATAAAGTAATAATTAGACTCCCAGAAGGAGTCTTATCTTTATCTCTAAAATAAAACTTCTTAATTATCTCCCACTGTAAATTTAATTTTGAAAACAAAATCCTCTCTTCCTTATCCAATAGGGCCGGCCACCGCAGCGATATCCCCTCCCTGTGGTAGGCGCATATATGTAGGGGATTAGGGTAAGATTCTGTATTTATCCAACAGTCCAATTTTGACTCAAATCTAAATTCTAATTTAAGTCAAACTTAAATCAATTTGAATTTCAAATTGAACAACTTATCAAATAAGTCAATTGGATAACTATGAGAGCAAACAATTTGAATCCCAAAAGAATTCACACTGTGTTGTGCGTTCACACTATGTGAACACCTTCACATGTGTGTTTTAAAATTTAACTTTAAACTTAAATAATCACATTATTTAATTTATAATTAATTATCCTTGTCTTATTTTAGAATTCTATAATTCTAAAATTCTCTTTTTGTCCTTAAGTGTTGTAGAATTACAAGGACGGTGCGGGGACTCAATGACCTATAATTTCAAGCTCCAATAAAATTAATAATTAATTAAACACTTTAATTAATTAATTAATTATATTAATTCTAATAGTTACTCCACTATAAACTTGGAATTGCACTCTCATAATTATAGACATAAATTACTTCTAAACTGTGAAGTGTCCATTTGATATAGTCACTGCATATAGATCAATCATTCATAAATAATTTATAATTAGAGCTAGATGAAATCCGTTAACCTCTCTAATTACATATTTATCCTTGAGTACCATTGATTCTCTAATGGACAGTGATTCATAAAACAAATTCATGAATCAGAGCTTCTACTGGTCCAAGTACCGAATCAACTCTCAAGAGAATTATTTATCTTTTTTTTTTAAAAAGGAATGGATTTCATCTCGTATAATAACATTCCCAGCTGCTCACATCATCATGTCTCCAAAATACAATGAATATGACTCAAGATCTTGGAATCCGTTCTAAGTAAATCAAAAGGCACAAATCCATAAATAGGAGTTTGCTAAGAACTCAGGATTAAAGTTGTTCCATATATGATCATCGATAAACTCAATTAGAATTTCTATACTTAATGGAAATTATTAAAAATTTATATTGTGTATGTGTCTCTGTTCTACATAATCTCATTATGTGTTATGCACTCATTCAATATCTCATCATATTAATAGTGCAGATAACACCATTTCATTCTAAATGAGAATGACTTGCATTAGTAATGTTTTTATTAAATATTTTGAACTTTAATTAAATTTATTACGAATATCATTTTGATTATTATCTTTAAATATTACCCTCTCACATATAATACTTATATACAATATTCAAGATAATTATAAAATTTCTCATTATATCTCATGTTTTTAAAACACTATTCTCAACATTTTCGCCATGCGATCTTTAATCCTCTAAAAAGCTTGTCTCTTATTTCTTCCAATAAACGATGGTAGCTCTAAATAAACATCCAGCGTCTGATTAAGGGGCATTCCAAGGGCGGCCTTGATCTCCTCAATATCCTTACCAGGAAGGTTAGGGGAGAAGCAAGCCGAGGACTTATCCAAATTGACAACTTGACCAGAGGCTTTAGAGCAGGCCAAGGCGCTCTTATCCAAGCCTCTTCATCATAGCTGCCAAAAACGGCCATTCGACTATATTGTAGGCCTTGCTAGACTAATTTGACGGTAATTTAACATGGATAATTTGACAGATTTAGACGGAAAAGACTTAATTACATCAAGATAGAAAGAGAAAAATAGGTTAAAATTTGAGATAAATTAAAATTAATAGGTCAATAGTTTACATAAGTTAATAGATAGGCTAAATTATTGTTTATGTCTATAACTTGTCTGGTTATGAACCATAACTTGACAAGTTATTGTCCATAATTCACAGTTTTTGTCAATAACTTGTCTAACTATGAACCATAACTTGACAAGTTTGTCCATAACTTATCTGGTTATTAGAGATGTAGAGAAAAACATAGAGAGAGCGTTTGGTATGCGGGAATCAGTAGGAATCATATTCTCAGAAAAGTGATGGAGGGTAATATGATTCCTATGAATAATATATTACTATGTTTGGTTCCATACATGAATCTTTTTCAAATTCCCAGAAATATTACATTACTGTGTTTGGTTGTTTGCATGGAAGAAGATCCTATGATAATCACTTTTCTGAGAATCTAAATATTATAATTTTTGTACCAAACATAGTAATATTACAGATTCTCATTCTCATTCTTAAGATTACTGCATACTAAACGCCCTCAGAGAGTTGAGAGGCGTGCAATTTTCTCTAGTAACTTCTTCTTTATCATAGTGAAAAATCGAACCTATATAAATTCTGTGTGTTGATTTTCACTTGATTTATTTTTCCACGTTTTATTATTGTCGGTTAGGTAGAATTAGGGCGGCTAATTCTTAACAAGGCGTTGGCTCCTCCCCCGCACCTAATCACTTCTTAGTCCTCAGACACACCGTACATTCCAAAATTTTGTCAATTCAAGACTCAAATTCAGATTCAGGTAGAGGAAAAAAAGAACCCAGAAATCAAAATTGAAAAGAAACGGGCAGTGCAAGTAGGAAAAGTGGAACAAATAAAAAGCTCAACCTGATCAACTTCCCATTACAGTACTAATCTTATAAAGCATACCAACAAACAGACACTACAGTACATTTCATCAACCAGATCAACTGAAAACAAACCAACCAACCAACCTGATCAACTGTCTGCTGGTCTTCGGGGGTGGCATCAGCGCCGCGATCAAGCGGAGCAATGGCGTCGAGAAGCTCCTCCTTGAGAACGGTGGCGTCTTTGCCTTTTTTGCTCAAAAAGGAAGAGAAGGAGACGCAGACGCAGAGTCTCCATTGCGTCTTTGCCTTTTTTGACAAGTTATGACCTATTAATTTCTATAACTAAAACTTAACCTATATACTTTCTTAAGCTTTTCATATTGACATATTTTTTACTATTTCCGTTACATCAATTATCCTTTTATGTTTTTGAAACAATTGAAATTAACAGTATAGTAACTGATAAATACTCACCTATCCGCATAAAATATCATTTACTAATTAATAAATGATTTACCATGCGTATCTACCAGTAAATTATTTACACTAAATCATTACCAGTAAATAATGCCATTTTACTTTATCACTTAAAAAATATGTTATTTACTTAAAAAACCATTTAAAAAATATACTTTTTAAATATACTATTTAAATATGTTATTTACTTTATCACTTTAGTATATGTTACTTAAATATACAACTTAAAATATGTTGGCCACTAGAAGAGTGTACAACTCCTCAATTCAGCATTTCTTAAATGTAAAGCATGCGAATTCTGCTTTTAACATTAAGTTTGTATGGCATCAAATCTTTTTTTCTTCAACATAATTTCTCAGAGGAAAATATAGGTGGCAGCCAACTTCAGGCGTACCCGTTAGAAATTGGATATTTGAGAATCTTTTATAGAATATATGTAGGCTTTAACACCATACCTCAAACCCCACTTAATCAGAGCATAAACACAGCAAATTATGCTTGTGCTTTACTGCTTCTGCGCTGCATGGAAGGATAGATAAATAGACAAACAAATATTTTTCAAACTAATCAAAGGGAGCCTAAAACCCTGCCTAGTAACCTCCTAAGACTTGACACTACAGTTTACAAAAGGGCCTCAGCGAAAGGTCGAACTACGGTTCCCAGTTGCGGGGAAAGCCTTCCGACGCCTCCCTTGTGCAAACTCTCCTGTTTCGTCATCTTTCGGTGTGCAACTTTTATCTGATTTTTTCTTGACCTTCAAATCACGTATACGTCTTTCACCTGGCCCAAGTTCTTTGGAATTCTCTTCAAATACAACCTGTTTCCTTGCTGCTTCATAGTCAAATGGCTTCAGTTGCAAGCCGATGGATTCCCGAGGTTTATCTACTTGTCTTACTTTCCTTTTCTGATAGTCTGAATCAAAACATTGTTGGAAGCTTGAAGACAAATCAGAGAGAGACATTGGTTCTTCCCGATCTGTTCCCAAGGCAGATGCCACCAAATTGTCATTGTCGTCATCTTTTGAGGTTCCTAAATCACCATTTCTTGATTCCTCAACGTCTAAATCATCTTGCAACATAATGACGTCATCCAATTTCGAGTTGGCAGGTGATGCCGCCGCAGGTGGTGGGACTTTGGAGGCTGTGACAGGTGCTTCTACAACTGGTTTTGACTGGTCGCCAATACTAGAAAATGAATGGAAGGGAAATTGTACTGAAGCTCTGATTTGCTGTAACTTGACCTCTTCCTTGGTCTGCAAACACAAGAGTTGAAAAAATGACCGCTTAGATATCAAACCGAATAAATTCAAATGGCATTTCAGTTGACAGTAGGTTGGCTCGTTTGATGCGCATAAGAAAATTCTAACCTCTATGGCAGTTTAAATATCACACAAGTGATGTTTTAACAAGTTAACGGATGAAAAAGAAACAAAGGAAAAGAATTGATCAAATATCTATGGCCATGCCACAAGAACCATTCAAAAGGAATCATAGCATGGCAAATGCATAAATTATCAGTTTATTATTCTCTTACATATGTGTGCAGTGCAGTATTCAACCCTGAGAGGATCATGCGTCCATTATTGTTCTTACTTCAAACTCGGAGTATACGGAGTTGAGTTATTAACCACACAGAAAATTGAATTAAAAAAAAAGGCTTGAATGACACTTTGCAAAGCAATAAGAAAGCAGCTACAATAGTTTATAATACTTACCTTGTTACCAGAATTGAGCCTCTTTTTGGTGTTTGCACTACCCAGGAGTGCACCAAAAGCACCACTAGCCTTTTTCTTCACCTGAACGGTTGCTCCAGTGATCTACAAGACAAAGCTATCTTCAAACTAGAGCTCCAATTCAGAAAGAAAAACAAAAAAGTATCCAAAAGACATCAGCATTAACCTTTGCTGAATCAGAAAAGGAGGTATTGGTACTTCCGTCTTTTCTCTGCTCTGAAACAGCGAGGCTCTCTTTAAGAATCACTGGATCATGACTGCCAATATTGCCTTTGCCAATTTCACCAGGATGCGCAGAAGAGCCTCCTGGTCCATCTTTTTCAAATGTTGAAGGAACATGCTCAAGCACTGATGAGCGAGAAGTGGATGAAGATACAGATAAATCATTGTTGCTTGCAGTTTTATTCGCTTCCAGTTCATCATTGAGTACTAAACTTTCTTCGGATGCCTGCACAGTGAAAAGCTTTGTTGTCTCCTAAACAAAGATATGAAAATCAACCATGCGCTTTTGAAGCTGACTCTATACCCCACGCCATATTTTAAAAAAATAGATCAACTATTCGTTACTAGTTCATACAACATTTTTCAACATAAATGAAATTAGTGCAAGTGCAACCAATAAAAATCGATTGTGTTCTGAAAATTTGACCAACCAAGTGCACCTTAAATCCCTAGTCTCTAGAATTTAAAAGTATCGCTTCCACTTGTCCGTTTCTACAAACCAGTTCAACTGAATAAATGCTTCAAAAATTTCAAAATAAATAAATAAATGCTTTAGCAGATCAGATATACGCCTAATAAGCTTGAGAAAAGTATTTTTGGTGTTAATTTCACTTGGGTTCCCTAGGTTTATGATTGCATCCCTTTTCCCCTAATCCTTATATTGTAATACCAGCAATACCTAAATTTAGGAAATTGTTTCACATTCTTTTATATTTTTACAAATAATTCATCACAGAATTCTTCACTTGTCACACTTCAAAACAAATTTTTGTCCAAAAATCACAGAACCTGACGGAAGGTGCAAACATGAACTTCTAAGTTTAGAGACTCTGGATCCCACACATTGAAGTTTGGGCAAGAACACACTAGAGAATAACACGACTTGACTTCCAGATACAAAAAGAATACTTTTAACTTAAAAGGCCCCAGGATTACAAAAGAATAATCTCATTCTCTGCAGAAGCAAAGCAGAGTAATTTCATAAACTTCCAAATCCAATTTCATAGCTCCGATCACATTCAACAAGTTTCTATTCCAGAACTTCCTTTATTTACAATACACTGTCATAGTCGGCACAATGATTTGTCCAAAAAATGCTCCTATTGACTTAAGTTCACACTTATCAGTTTTTAAAGTGAATGAATGGGAAAAAGAGTGGCTCCCTGACATCATGGAAAAGACAAAGCAGGAACATAATAGCTTCGCTTTTGCTTTTGGGCAGCAAGAGAAAATAAAAAAAGTTGTGGCTCTCGAATTAATGGTTTGAAATTGTATTTTAAAATTACTTAATAGGACAAGGATGACATCTGATCTAAACTGACACAGAGATTACAAAATTTCACTATGCTTTTGGCCCATTTAGAACGTATATTCAAACCATGATTCTTGATTTTGACATTTGAAATTCAAATTTTTTGTGAGAGGAAAACACTGCAGTAGAATCAATTATTTGAGCTTGAGTATATGAAATAAACAGGCCCTTACGTATTTTATGGCTCAAACAGCTCTCTAAAGGAGCTATCAGATTTCAGAAGATTTGTTCAGATAGTCTCAAAAGAATATTTTGATCCAGAAAAATAATAATAATAATAATAACAATCTGCTCTCTGCACCCTTGGGTGATGGATGTTTGATACAAATTCATGTCTCTGCAATCTATGAAAAAACAATCCTTACTCATCTCAATTGTAAACCATTGCATCAGGGTAAGTAGGGTTTACCTTTCCAATGCGTCCCTCTTTCAAATATTGTTCAGCAGCCTCAAATGCACCAGCATTTTGCATTGAATTCCTGATGATACTAACAACAGAACCAAGATTACGCTCAATGTAAGGATGCTTTGACTTGACCAACCGCCGTAACTTGCTGGTAGCATCAGGCATCTGCTTGGCTTTTTACAAACAAAATGAAGATACGATTGCAAATAAACATCTCTCCAAAAATTATGTGGTATAAACAGAATTTAGTTCAGGTTCGCAATTACCAATTTCAAGGAGAGTTTTGTTTGGCAATATATAACCAGTACTTTCATCTTCTGCGCGCGCAACAACATCTCGCCACTCACAAAGTCCCTGCAAATCATTTTACAAGTACATATTAGAAAGAAGTACACAAGGAACTATGTCTAATTTATTAAAAAAAAAAAAAAGAGGACAAATTACACAACCCCCCAAAACAACAACAAAAAAAAGACAAATTACACATCCCCCCAAAACAAAAACAAACAAAAAAACTGTAGGCCTTGTCACAAAATGCCCCCTGAACTTTAATTTAGCTTCTTCTTTTTTTTCGAACTTCTTGCATATTTTCTCCCTTTGTTAAATTCTTCTGTTTTTGTTGTTGGCCGCCATTGATGAACCTCCAAGGTTCCTTAGGTCAAGTAAATTAAAAGAAAATTGGTGTGGTGAAAAAATGAGAACTCCTGTTGCATAATTACACTCTTGTGTGACTAAACGAGAAGGAGAAAACAGAGTAATTGTGTACTAAAAATAGTTCAATGACAATTATTTGTGTGACACGCTTTATTTCTATTAAAAATCTTAACATAAGGAGTTTTTTTGTTAGTTTTTTGCATTTCACGTGACATGTCTGCTAAAAATTTAGTTGAGGGGGGGAATTTGCAAGAGTTGTTGAAGTTCGAGGGGAAAAAAAGCTAAAATTGAAGTTCGCGTGGCCTTTTGTTACAAGGCCTATAGTTCGGGAGGAAATTGTCCATGGAAACCCAACCATCTCATATATATGGCATTGGATGAATTTCACTAGATATGCAAAAACGAGTGTAACATCCACCATAGTTCTTGGATTTCAGAAGATAACTTAATGTTGAAATTTATGCAATCAGTAGGAAGGAACGTACTGCAACAATGGCAAGCTGCTGAGCATTTAAACCAGCACTTTGTAGGCTGTAATAGAAGAGGCAACAATAATACAATTAATTCGACTAAGAAACACAGGAAAGAAAGGGCAAACAAGTTCACTAAAGGAGAAAAACCCACTATACCCATATATATAGAGGTAAGAATCCTCGGTCAGAAGCTCTTTCTCATAAAGCTGCATGCATATGTCATAACTGCGCTTGTAAACCTGTAGGCAAGAAGAGATTTCAATGCCCATGCTAAAAGTATCGTAAATGACTAATAATACAATGAGAGTAAGACCATAAAACACCATCTTTCCAGTAGCAGTATCAGCTAAAAACAGATAAAATAAACATAAAATGGAGGCGCCAAACAACAAATTTCATTTTCCAAACAAATTGCACGTCGACTATAAAAGGTAGCGACAACTAAACTTGGTATATACATAATTTTGTAACACATATCATAGCAGCCTATATAAAACTACAAAATACATTAACAACATAAGTCATGTGTTCAAATAGGCTGTACCTCTAGTAAAGAAGCATTAGGGCATTCAGACTCTTTGGACATCGAGAACAATTCTATTCTCATCAAATCATATATATGCAACAGATAGTGCGTATCTTCTCTAGCATATCTGTCGAGCCAAAACAAACTCAATAAGATACTAGTAGCAGCAGAAAAACTTGCATAACCCAGAAACAGAACACCATATCTAGACAATGGAAAACCAAAAGGCCATAGAATGTAGGAAACCAGACAAATTATGATGTTTGATGCTGGTTGTGTATCCTGAAATAAAGTACCTGAGTCCGATTTTGTGGAATAAAGGAGCTATTGAAATAAACAGACTATGTAAATCATCAATGAAATTATTCCAACAATAAAAATAAATAAAAATAACTAAATAGAAAATGAAAATAACAACAGCAATTTTAGCAAAAACAACATTCTTTCATATATGTTGGGACAAAAGGGTATGTTAGACGCCACTTACACTTCGAAGTGTTTGATAACACAAATTGTTTATACCAAGGGAACGGGTAAAAACAAATAAAATCCAAAAGTATGCAAAAGATCTAAACAGATCTCTAAAACTTTAAAATGCAAAATCAAGGCTCCCTGACTTGAGGTATTAATTTATAAATAACACAACAATACCCTATAACACCAGGAACTAGACAATATACACTCATAAATGAAGACATTATTATCCACCAAAGAATTTTTACCTGAGCATCTCCTCAGGAAGGGGGCGCAATCTCCAATCTGCATTTTGGTATCTGCAATGAGTTGCCAATTAACATTAGATATGCTGAGAAGTTGACAAAGTAGTAAAACAGAAGCTGCAGCAAAAGTGAAAATATAGAATAATAGTGAGACATTAATAAATACTAAAAAGGGAAAATAAACCAACTCTTTGTTAGCAGTGACTCCACAGAAATGGTGAAGAAGATATTCAAGACTATTCCTCTCCAATTTCAACACCCTTGAAGCCTGAAGCATGAAAAAAAAATAAAACCATGAGACAATGTAACAATGAGTTGATAGCAATTCTTTTTTTTATTATTTTTTTTTTAATTGCCAACATGGGAAGAGGATTGTTTCAAAACTAGAAGCAATAAGAGTAAGAGAGGCATTTTTCATTTAAGCAATAAATGAGTACATAGTGTACGTGAGAAACTAATAAAAAGGAAATAACTTCTGTGCCAATTTTTCAAAAGAGTAAAGTGCTATGAACACTGTTGCTCATACAAAGGTGATAAATAAGATGCAAATCAACCCATAAGAATCAAAGTATTGCCTGAGATATAAATCTCAGCAGTTTTAGAAATATTGACAAAAAAACAAAACATTAATAAATTTACAACCCCAGAAATCTCACGTTATATCTCACAACAGTTTTTTACCACCAGAAAGAAGAGTTAATCTAGATTTTGGAATCCCAATGACTACAATCTGTAATTGAAATACAAAACACTGATACAGATTTTAAATGCTCGATGAGTTTCCGTATAAAGTGAGCATAGAGTGGCGTCACCCAATAAACTTTGTAACCATATTCAAACTTTTGTAGGAAGAGGACGGAAACGACAGATCTAGAAAACAAAAAAAAATTTAATGGGGATGAGGGGCTTCAGAAACATACGAGTGTTGCTTTTTGGGTTAGGGAAATTCTAACATTAGATTAGGAGAATTCATTGTCTCATATGCGATCCAATGAACATAAATTATAATATCCTACAGAACGAAACTTTGACAACATCTTCAAATATATTTACGTTTCCAAATTTCACACTATAATCTTTGTAAAACTGCCAGATGAACAACATGGATGCACCTACGTAGCAAATGAGACATGCCTACTCGTAATTGGAGCTCCTTTTCTTGATTAGGGTATTGGTCGATAATCTCTGACTAGAGAACATGTACATTTTCACTCAAAAAGTTGTCACTACCACTTACGAAATTAGCAAGAAAGAAAAATATAGTGGTGAGCATAAAAAATCTACTTTTCCACACAAGAAAATGACACAGGATAATCATTCTCCGCATAGATAACTAAGATAAATTAGTTCAAGTTTCCAATAATTAGAAGCTTCAAGTTAATATACCTGTCCAGTATCAAACAAATTGCAGATGTAAATGCCAAAATCTCGTTGAAGCCAGACAATATCTCGATCTGCTCCATGCATCACCTAATTGAGTAAAGATATTGTAACATATTGTGATAGTATAAAATAAAGAGAGAAAGGCGGAGTGTAGGAGATCAACCTTTCTCTTTGCCGGGTCCTTGAAAACTTCCCTAAGGTATGGACCAATATGAATTCGAAGCTTCAAAGCATCTATTACAAAATCCTCAGTTCTAGTAGAAATTTGTATCAAACAAGTCAATCCTTGAAAAGAACGATACTGATTATGTTCCAAATCAACCTAAACAATGAAAGACCAAAGTTAAACATGTCACGTGAGAATTGAGACATGCCAAAAATATACAAGACAATGGTGAACTAACTAATTGCCGAACTATAGAAGACTCATCAACATTAACCGCAAATTCGTTTACATCAACAGCAACATAACAAAAAGAACTCGTTGTTTTGTCTTTGTGCAATTAACTTGAATTACTATAGTAACATTTACCGCAAATTCATTTGCACCACGTAGTTTAGCAACCAGTTCCTTCAGATCTTTGACTTCCTCCACAAGCTTGAATGATGTAGACTCTAGCGAGGGTGGTTCTACTGGCTCTATGTGCAGCACATCTTTATCCACAAAATCCAAAACAGAAAGCTCCTCCTGCACTTGTGCAAAGAACAATGATTAAAAACAAAACATCATTTCTTTGGACAAGAAAACCAAGAAACCTATCCTCAAAAAAACCAAGGGTAGAAGATAAGCCTAGCAAGGCAATAAAAAAGATGCCAAATTCTTTAGGCTATGTTTGGCAAAAGGGAACTATCGGAAAAAAAAAAAAAAAAAAAAAAAAAAATTGGTCGAGGAAATTAAGGTCTTTTGAAGGATTTGATATCCTAACCCAACCGATTCCCTCCTCTTTTCTCTCTTACAAAACAACCATGTTCCAAAATCCTTCCAATAATCTCCTCACCCCTCTCTCCCTCCTCCCGCTTTTCCCTCCAACCAAACAAGAATTAAACAAATCATGTTGCCAAACAAGAATTAAACAAATCATGTTGCCAATCAAGAATTAAAACAAAGAAAAATGGAACAGTATACAAGAATAACAGATTCAAAGATGAACAATTTTTTGAGCAAGTATATGAAATAAATAAAGAAACAAACCCCATTGATTGAATCCAAAAAAAAAAAAAAAAAGATTATAAAAGAACAAACCAAAGGATGGAAAGAGCTCTGGCCATCCTCACTCCTCTGCAACCAAACATGCTCAAATGGTTGGTTCGAATTATTCATAAAAATATTGAACTCCTGTTGAGGTCTCCGAATCGTCGGTATATGAAACGGCACTTTTGGCTTCGCCCCAATCATTTTCTTATCTTTCGTCGCGACCTTAACACCCGATTCTTGATTCGAATCATTCTCGTTCCGACTCGCCGCTTTCTTCTTCTTCCCACCAACCAATTGGAACCCATCATCCTCCATGGCCGAACCCGAAACCGAATTCGAATCATTCGTTAATCTTCCACCGGTCTCCTCCTCTTTCTTCCTCAACTTCTGAAACTCGTCCATCGCCATGTCGAACCTCTCAAAGATGTCGTCGTTCACGTCAACCAACCACTCGTACGCGTCGTCGATATCCTCCGGAAAAGCCCTTTCTTTGCCCCAAATTCGCGCCGATGAGCCGATCGATTTGAGCATCGACTGCGATTTCTCCGAGATTTCTTGGACTGGGACTTTGAATTCGTCGAAATTATGGTAGAAATGGAAGTCTTTGTTCGACGGAATTGGACGCGAGTGGCTTAAAAGCTTCGACACGGACGACGCCCAAGGGCCTGCGGTTAAGGTTCGGAGGGATTGGGCCTTAGAGGGCTCGGACTGGTCCAAGTTCATGGCGTCGTCGGTCATGGTGATCGCCAAGGTCCGTTGGAGTATTAGCAAAGGGTTTTAGGGCTAGGGTTTTAGATTAGAGGTCCCATTCCCATTCCCATGGCCGTGAGCATTGGAAGTTTGTCACACGTGACAGTTGTGTGTGCGTGAAGGCACGTGCCAACACACAATAAAATATGCATGAAAAGTTGAAATGCCTATTTTGCATTATCGGTCCTCAACTTTATACCCATGTCGCACTTGAGTCCTCAAATTTTTGTCTTGGCATTATAACCTTATAACCCATAATGCTATATTTTCGTATCAAGTGAGCCCTTCTACTCTCGAGTCCTTTCGCTCTATTTATAAATCCATCTAAAATCTTCACAGACTTATTTGGTTCATAGGTTTAAACTATATATTTTAAATCAAAATTTAATTTTTATAAAGAAAAAAGAACATTGTAATAGAATTAAAAAAATTCAAGAATTAAATTACACAGATTAAGAGTTCTCCGCAATCCAATCCATTACTTCCTATTAAAAAAATCATCTCAAATCTGTTACCAATTGGTGAGCCCTTCCAATCGAATCGAATCCAATTTAAAAACAACGGATTCCGTGGATGCCTATATCTCAAGACTTTTATAAAATTAATGACAAAATTAAAAATAAACACAAACATGACCTAAAATAAAATTAAAATAGCTCAACAAAATCCAATTCATTACAACATAATCAAATTCAAGTTTTTACAATAAACTAAACATACGATTCGACTCCATCATAACAAATAAATTTTAACTCAACTTTAAAGTAAAGTCTTAATCACTTACATTACTCATCTATTAAAAGATGTATACATATGTATACACGTATATCAAACATTTAAAAAAATGATATATTGTACATATTATTTAAAAATATAAAAAATATAATACATATAGTTTTGATAGACGGATTATATAGATTGAGAAATATCCAATTCACAGTCCAATCCGTAATATTCGAATAAGAAAAATTCCAATCTATTACTAATTCAAAATTTTCTCAACCTAATCTAATTCGGTGAATTGGATTGGGTTAAATAAATTGATGGACTCAATAAACGTCCCTAAGAAGAACATTTAAACTGTGAAAACTCTTTTACCAAACATACTCTAAGTGACACATATTTTTCATTGTTCAAAATACTTAAAGGGATAAAATTTGTTAACAGAATAATAAAGGGATCGATGTCACGAATATAAGATCATGAGAGTAAAATGTTAAATGAATTTATGTAATTATTTTTAAAATAAAAAAAAGAATATCTAACAATATCGAACATCTAACAATCTAACAATCTAATCTTTAATCTTTAACCTACATAAAAAGGCCAAAAAAGCTTCCCTTATTTTTGACAATTGGCATCATAAGGAGCATTCCCTTTACCACATTTTTTATTTTTCTTTCTTGTGTTTTATGAACATTTTTGTAATTTCTTTTTATCTTTTTTAATTTTTTTTGTTCTTTAAAAGTTTTTGTGCAATTTAATTTAGTTTCTCTGATAGGCCAGGTCTACTGGTCGTGTCAGTTTTTGATTATTAGATTAGGTCAAAATCAAATCAGATTGAAAAAGTATACAGAACATGTTGAGAATGTTGTCCTAGAAGCATGAGATATAATATGATATTTATTATTTATTTAATAAAAGAATTTATTCATTATTTTATGTGCATATATTATTAAATATTTTATGAATATCATTGAAAATTTCATGATTATTTTTGTGACCTTAAATATTGTATGTAAGCGTTATATGCGAGATGATAATATTTAAGGATAACAATCAAAACGATGTTCGTAATGAATTAAATTATGTTTGGAATCTTTAATTAAAACATTATTATTACATGTCATTCCCATTTAGAATTAAATGGTGTTATCCGCACTGTTAATATGGTGAGATATTGAATTTGTATATTACGCATAATGAGATTGTGTGGAACAGAGGCACATACACAATATAAATTTATGATAATTTATGTTAAGTATAAAAATTCTAATTGAGTCTATTGATGGTCATATATAGAATGATCTTAATCATGAGTTATTAGCACACTCATATTTATGGATTTGTGTCTTTTAATTTACTCGGTATGAATTTTGAGATGTTGAATCATATTCCATGTATTTTGGAGACATTATGAAGTGAGTAGTTAGTAATGTTATTATACAAGATGAAATCCATTCATTTTTAAGAAAAAAGTAGATAAATAATTCTCTTGAGGATTGATTCGGTACTTGAACTAGTAGGAGCTCCAATTCATGAATTTGTTTTATGAATCACTGTCCATTAGAGAACTAATGATACTAAAGAATAAAGATGTAATTATAAAGGTTAACGGATTTCACATAACTCTAATTATAAATAATTTATGGATGATTGATCTATATGTAATGGCTATGTCAAATGGATACTTAACAATTTAGAGTAAATTATATCTATAATTACGAGAGTGCAATTCTAAGTTTATAGTAGAGTAACTTTTAGAATTAATAAAATTAATTAATTAATTAAAGAGTTTTAATTAATTATTAATTTTATTGGAGCTCGAAATTATAGATCCATGAGTTCCCGCGTCGTCATTGCAATCCTACAAGACACTAAGGGAAAAATGGGAATTTAGAATTATGAAATCTAAATAGAACACTCAAGAATAATTAATTGAGAATTAATTATAAATTAAATAATATGATTATTTAAATTTAAATTTTAGAACACACATGTGGATGAGTCCACGTGGTGTACACGCCTAACAATGTGAGAATCCCTTTGGGATTTAGTTGCATGCTCTCTAAGTTATTCGATTAATTTATTTGATAAGTTATCCAATTAGAATTCAAATTAAATTAAGTTTGACTTTAATTGAATTTGAATTTGAGTCAAAATTGGACTGCATAATAAAGGAGAATTTTTTCTCCTTCCTTATCTGTAAGTTTTGCCAATCACAGGGGGAATATCCCTATGGTGGTCGGCCCCTGTGGATAAGAGAGAGAAGGAATTTTGTTTACAAAATAAAATAGAAGTGAGAGATAATTATTAAGCTTTATCTTAGATATAAAGTTTAGACTTCTTTTAGGAGTGTGACGGCTACTCTATAAATAGGAAATTACAGAAAATTGGAGACACAATTTTTGCTCTCCCAAGCATATAGTTGTCGATTTTATAGAGTGAGGAAAAAAAAAATTTTCTCTCCAATTCCACGTTGTGCATGTGTTGGTGTTCATGGAAAATTGAGTGTTTAAGTGCTAATCCTGTTTTGTTTCTAGTGTGCCTACATAAATGTTTTCGTAAATTTAAGGAATTGACGAGGAAGATTTAGATATTATAATTTTAGCTAAAATTCAAATATAAATAAAGTCATACTTCACTTTTCTTTTGAATTTGATTGGAAAACTTGTCAAACAAGTAAACTAGATATCTTGCAGAACAAGCAACTGAATCCCAGTGGGATTCTACAAGTGTCACACGCTCCTTGCACCTCCATGTGCCTGGGCGTGTGACCTCCTGTGGTTCCACCATAGTGTGTTCTAAAATTAATTTAATTAAATAATCACATTATTTATTTCGAGTGATATTAAATCTCAATAATTTATCTTGTATTGCAAATATTACAATGATGACACGAGGACTCATGTACCTATAATTTTGAGCATCAATAAATTTAATAATTAATTAATTAATTAATTCTGTAAATTTTAAAAGTTACTCCACTAAACACTTAGAATTACACTCTCAAAATTATAAACATAATTTACTTCTAAGAACTTAAAATGTCCATTCAATATAGTCATACATATAGATCAATCATTCATAAATAATTTATAATTAGAGCTAGATAAAATCATTTAACTTTTCTAATATTCTTTGACCGTTCATTTTTTACAATATCTTTTTTTAAATACTTTCTCCTTCTCACTTACTTTTAATTAAAATAATTCCTTTTAAATTTTTCCTACAGTCCTATTTAGTTTGCGTTTGGATAAGGATTTGTATCATAATTCGGATCATAGTTTGCGACTCACTATAATATTTTTTCTCATAAAAAATATATATAAATTAAGAATAATTTTAACTCATAATTCTGAATTTATGAACTAAGAGCCCGTTTGGTTGGAGGATTCGTTCTCTGATTGGAATCATGGTTCATGGTTCGCTACAATATTTTTCTTCATAAAAAATACACGTAAATAAAAAATGATTCTAATCTTATTGTTCTAATCTATGAACCAAACGGGCTCTAAACGTCTATTTAAGTTTTTTTTTCTTACAAAAAATTCTTAATATAACTATGGCCCCGTTTATTTCGCCGATTCGAGTTTAAAATTTGAGTTTTGCTACAGTAAAAAGCTCTAAAAAATAATCACATCTAACTTTTTTATTATAATAAAAAATTATCACATAAAATCACATCTCAACTCGTATTAAAAATTTAAATCAATGAAGTAAACGGCCCTACAATTGAACGGCCCTACAATTCTCCACGTGTGGACAGGACGCGGTTGAACTAATAAAAAATAAAGAATAGAAAGAAGGGAAAGTGGAGATGTCTCCTATGAAGTCCGAACAGACTAGACTAGCAACAAAAAAGAAAAATCAATCGGCCCAGTCATCCCTGAAGGAACTTTTTTGCACTCCTGAAGACAAAAAAACAGGGATCGATTCTGCACTTGCCCTTGGGAACTTGACTCATAATAATTCCTGCGTTGTGGCCGAAAAGTCGCGTAGAGATTATACGCACTCCACTTTCAAAAAAATGAGGTTTCTCTTCTCTTTCTCTCTAATCGTTCTTTGGTGTAAATGTCACTCATCAATTTCCCTGTTTTATTAACGAATCTAATCTTTTTTTTTTTTTTTTTTTGGGTTCAATGATGGTAGTCGGCATCCGGAGGTTCTTTGGGCACAGAGATCGGACAAAGTGTATTTGACGGTGGCACTTCCCGATGCCAAAGACATCAGCGTCAAGTGCGAGCCTCATGGTTTCTTCACTTTCTCTGCTTTGGGACTCAATGGCCAACGCTTTTACTTCTCTTTGCCTCTTTATGCTCCCATACTCCCTGAGGTATTTCTTACTTTCATTTTTATTATTATTCTTTCTTTCATATATATATATATATATATATATTTCTTCTGTGAACTTCTGTAAATTTAGTGATAAAAAAAGTAATAACTTGAATGCCCTTTTCATGGGCGAAGAATATTTATTTATTTATTTATTTTTTCAATTTTCAATGTATAAAAAAGAGCGAGTATGCTTTGAGATGGGTTTAGATTTTACATTGTTTTCCTTCTGAATTATCAAGCCTTTTTTTTTTTTAATAGGTTCAAAACTTCTTTTGCTATAATGTTTTCGCTCGTAAAAATTTAAACAAATTTGAATTTCTATTCGAATTTTCTGTTCAAACCTGTGAACCAAATGGGCCACCAGTCGTATTTGAGGTTCGGGTATTTTAGCTTAATCGTAGGATGTTCAAAGTTTTTTAATACCCTTTTGCACGATCTCTAATATGTGATTTTCGAAGTACGTCTATGGTATACTATTTGGATTATGAGTTTGAAATTGGTTCTGTACCAGTTGGTGCTAAATATAAAATTGGCGCTAGCATTTGTGCAAGAGATGGTCTTAGTTAAGCTTCCACGAGCAAACTAAAAATAAATTTATCTGGTACAACACTGATTGCAAATCATAACCCAGTGCATAATATATTTTGGCTCCGTTCATTTCACCGATTTGAGTTTAAAATTCTAGTTTTGCTACAGTAAAAAGCTCTCAGAAATAGTAAAATCTAACTTTTTTGCTACAGTAAGAATCTCTCAGAAATAGTCACATTTAACTTTTTTGCTACAGTAAGAAGCTCTCACATAAAGTCACATCTCAACTCGAATTATAAACTTGAATCATCGAATTAAGTGGGCCCTTTATATGCATAATCCTATATCGAATGATATAGCCACATTTTGGCATCATTATTAAGGCCCCGTTCATTTCGCCGATTCGAGTTTAGAATTCGAGTTTTGCTATAGTAAAAAGTTCTCAGAAACAGTCACATCTAACTTTTTTGCTACAGTAAAAAGCTCTCACACAAAATCACATCTTAACTCGAATTACAAACTCAAATCAACGAAGTGAACGGGCCCTAAGTTTTTGAAACTTGTAAAAGCAAGCTTTTAACTTTGAAATAATTTAAAAATGACAATATATTGTAATGATTAAACGTAGAAGTTAATACATCAACCAGTAGCAAATAGATGCCAGAATTAACCTATGCTATACTTGATGCTAGATTTGGCATTTCCTGCTCAACTGCTAAAATTTGACATTCGCACATTAATTTGTCATTGCATTGGATATGCTCTAAGCTTATGTATCATGCATTGCTGGCAACTTTTTGCTTTATCTAAGTAGGTTTAACTGACATTGTTATGCCATTTGATTCGGTATTACAATGGTGCAGGGTTGCAAGACTAAGGTTGGGTTAAGAAACATACTGTGCTCAATCCAGAAAGAGCAGAAAGGATGGTGGAAACGATTGCTAAAATCAGAAGAAAAACCGGCACCTTATATTAAGGTCGATTGGAACAAGTGGTGTGATGAGGATGAGGAAGAGTCCAACAGTAAGTTTATTGCATTTTCCTTGTTTGGTTTTGTGGTTTTAGCATTTTTCATGCGCTAAAAGGTTCTTCGACTGCGTTAATTTTTATTAACTTATTTGCAGTCCATCCTCACTTTTTTATAGTGTTTCTTCTGCTGTATAAGAAACAAAATAAGGGGGGAAAGAAAAATTCTCCATCACAACTTTATAAAATGTCAGCCGGAGGAAGGACGTAGTAGGTTAAGCTGAGTTATTCTTATTATTATTATTTTTTTTAAACAGGGTTCTGATGAATAATGGTTTCTTTGTTTTTAGTAATAATAATAGTTGAATAAGCTGAGAGAGAGAGAGAGAGAGGTTCTGATGAATAATGGTTTCTTTGTTTTTAATAATAATAATAGTTGAATAAGCTTCTGATGAATAATGGTCTCTTTGTTTTTAGTAATAATAATAATAGTTGAATAAGCTGCTGATGAATAATGGTCTCTTTGTTTTTAGTAATAATAATAATAGTTGAATAAGCTGCTGATGAATAATGGTCTCTTTGTTTTTAGTAATAATAATAATAGTTGAATAAGCTGCTGATGAATAATGGTTTCTTTGTTTTTAGTTGAATAGCCAAACAATTTATTTTAGGTGAAATGCAAACCAAACCAGAGGTTCCAATCCATAGTGCTGGAATGGGTAAAAGAGGTTGCAGTAGGCTATTAAAAATATCTTCAAGACATATGCTAATTGTTTTTACAGCTGTGTGGACGCTATTTGAATGAATTAATTGGGAAGATAGCAGCTCTGGACCCCAAGTTCAGCATCCCAAGTCTCTTTCTGAACATCTATCTTCAACAGAAATAAAATAAGAAAACTGATTTGTAGTTTTAAATTCATATTGCCAAACAGGCACTAATCTTTTCAAGGAATCCTTATTTGGCTTATTTCGATGAATGCTAGTGACGTGAACGGATGGAAAGACCGTGTTGGCAATAAATAGGCTAATGTTGGGGGGATGTTAAGAAAATTGAGTCCTTGATTCAGTGTTTTTAGCAGATGAATATTATAGTGATCCTCAATCTAATTGGTGCATTTCTTGGCTTCTTCATAAATAAGAAAATGCCAATGGGGTTTCCTAACTGAAAGTTCTTCAAATGAGCTTTCGATCTCCACATGGCTTGTTCTCTTGCTTATTTATCAAAGATGAAATAAAGATAAAACCATTCAACCCATCACCAGTACTTGCCAAGGGGAACGAGATCTTGCATCAGCTCTAGTTGTTGAAAGCTCAACCAATTGTGATGTGCATATTGAAAAAAGAGATCCAACTATCACATGTCTAAAAATTTAGAACTCCGGATTTAGATCGATTAGATTATGCATGTGTCATGTAAATATGATGAAACCTTGTCATTGGCATTTTGTATCTCAATCTTGTTACATGGTTGTAAGTTTAAATGTGTATAATAGCTTTTTCCCTCTAACTGTAGGTCCAACCTATAATTTTCACACTTATTTTTCTATATTTAATTATTTCAACATCTTTACGGTAAAATCTTATTGCAGGTAGCTAGGAAACTGTAAACTCTGATCAATTTTATCAGACAGACACACACACACATACACACACATATGCATATCACATGTTCGGTGTATTGTTTAAGATGTTTACACAATGTCTGACTGAGAAGCTTGTATTCCATTTTCTTGAGCTACAAATCCTCAAATAATCGTCAGCATTTAGATTTAAATGAGGTCCAACTCCTGAAACTTGTTTTAGCATTTATACCATGTCCTAAGTTGCGTATATTTGGATTTCTACTGAATACTTTTTACATTTTGCAGCTGACTTGGCCTTTGATGATGATGATGAAGCAGTAAGTTGCCTCTTTCATTTTCTAATATTGGGGGATAGAAAACTGTGTAGACTGTTAACTACCATGCTTGTGACCTGATCGTCTAATGTTCTCTTTCGTTTTACAGTACGTCGGTGAAGATGACGAAAGCGGCGACGATGAGGGAATGCTTTGTGAGTCTTTTAAGTTCTTAATTTCTTCCCAAATAATTTTATTTAGTTTGCATCTTTTGCTTTCCATGTATTTTCAGAGTGAATTCTTACAGTCTCTTTTCCACACTACACTATTTTTCTGTTAGCATAGACTTGTTGCATTTCATCAATGATAAAAGCCTTAAATCTCTTGTCTCTGTCAGAAACTCTCTTGCTGTAACCTCAACATTCCCCAACTACTTCTAATACCTAGCACGAAATCATAATGTGGTTACAGATCTCCCTGACCTGGAAAAGGCACGAGGAAACTAGAAACAATGAGCAGCAGCGAGCCACAGCGACATCCAGACCGAGATGAGATGGAGGCAGTCTCTTCGATAAATTGATTAATACACTAGAGAAACATTTGAGTTTGATGGAATAGATGAGTACTATCAAAACTGAGACTTGTATATATCTAGAATCGAACCTTTCATCTTCAGAGTAATGCGATCGTTTAGGCTGTAAGTCTCGGCTGTTTTCCGCTGGTGTATTTGACATGGAAAACCTTTTTCGCTCCGCTTAGCCCTATCCCTCTCTAGGGGTATTTTAGCGATAGGTTCTATAGGAACTAGACAATCCTATTTGGTCAAATACCTAGCGACAAACTCCTATGTTCCTTTCATTACAGTATTTCTGAACAAGTTCCTAGGCTAATTTCATGGATTGTTTTCTTACCGTTCCAGATCCAAAGGTCTCATTTGATGATCACATGGATACATTTTTCTTGCTAGTTTAAATAAGATCACATTGGCACATCTTGGTTGCAACTTCGGGTTCGTTCCCTTCCTGTGTTTTACGAGTTGCCATATATCTAATACAGTTTATTAATTAAACTGTATTAGTAAACGATAAAAAGTAAAGGGCTCAAAATAAAATCACATCAAATTAAATAAAAAATAAATAAAACAAATTTAAAATGCAAGAAAATAGGTTAAAATGTCAAGAACTAAGGTGATTTTTATGCTACATGAGTAGTAAAATAACTGTTTTATAATGTTAGCAAACTTTTCCCTTTTTTTTTTTTTTTCCTGATTTTCCTACTTACTCTTTTTTTTTTCTACTTTATTTGTTCTCTTTTTATTGTTTTGTCCTCCCACATTTTTTTCCTTTCTGAATATGCACACGCGTAGCGCGAGACAGTCTTATTAGTAACTACACTTATTTATTTATTTTAAATTGATTTGTGGTATGATTTTGTCCGTTGTAACACTATTTTATACTAAATTTTCAATACCACCTAGATAAAAATACTATAAATAATTTGAATAAAAATTAAAATTAAACAAAATATACTAAAATAAAATAAAATAAGACCATATTTAAAAAAAAAAAAAAAAGCCGACCATGATCTCGATCGGACAACTCAAATAATTTCTAATTTAATTTTTAATTATTTTTAATTATTATAATTATTTATTTATTTGTAATTGATTTGTAGTCTGATTTTGTTTATTTTAACACCCTTCTACACCAAACACCCAATACGACTCAAATAAAAATACCATACATAATTTGAATAAAAAATAAAATTAAATAAAAATACACTAAAATAAAACAAAATAACACGAAATTATATAAAAAAGAAATTCAACAAAACAAATTATAATTAATTTAAAACTTAACAAAATAAGTTAACATTTATGTCTGTTTTTAAAATCATTTGTATAACCGTTATTATAAATAAATCAATGCTAAATTAGCAAGCACTTTAAACACACCGTGTTTCCGCATCTATCGATCTATCCTCTAAAATATTGTCATTTCTAGTTGCATAACCTAGCTCATTAGTTGCCACCATTTTTTGCTCCTGAAATTCCGCCAAAGTCATTAGCCGTGGTTTCCTCATCAAGAGTATGCTCGACATGCATATTATTTTGCGTCGGATATTGATATTGTTGTTTTCTTTTCGCATGCATGACCTATACACAAGTTTCGCAGAAAGACATTTAGAGGAACCAATTCATGTGTTTCAACGTCTTCAGAGAAGTAAAACAACTGTGAAAAGTTACATATTTCTTTAAGACTTAAGCTATTTAATTAATGAGGAATTATTCAGCACACCGAGTGTACCACGTCATATTATTTATATGGTACATCCGTTCAATGAGATTGTACTATTTAGACATTTTGTCTATATCAACTTTTCACTTTTATAAAGTGAAAAGCTTCTACAGAAATCAAAGGATATTGGGCCTAACAAAACCGGCTTGTTAAGAAAGGATTGCCCTCACCTTATTAAGTGGATCATACTAATATCTCTAGCCAATGTGGGATTCTAATAAACCCTCTCATGCACAGCGTGGATCATGCCAAACCGCTGCGAATAAATCGATATTGGGGGACTCAATATTACAAAACTGAGTCTGCTCTGATACCATTTTACAGAAATCAAAGGATATTGAGCCTAACTCAACCTAACAAAACCGGCTTGTTAGGAGATGATTGCCCTCACCTTATTAAGTAGATCATGCTAATATCTCCGGCCAATGTGAGATTCTAATAAAAGCTGACATAGATAAAATGTATTATTTAGTGAAAAGTTGACATAGACAAAATGTCCAAATGATACAATCTCATTAGACGGGTGTACCACATAAATAATATGACATGGTGTACTGAATAATTCCTCTAAATTAATACTATAACATTTCAAAAAAAAAAGTAATAATACTATAAATTTTCTTTATTCAACTTGCATTGTTCACTCATGTTTCCTCAAGACATGTACGTACAATAACAAAGGATACAGTATTTTTTTCATGTATTTGCGCCGAGTACGTTTCACAGTTCACCTACAAAAGTAATAAAGTAATAAATTGCTTCAAGGTTATGTCGAACAGTCGTCTGCCTAGTCTACAACTCTTACCGGAATCACTGGAATTGATTCCCACCATTCTTTGAATCGTCTGTTACCTTGGCTGCTTCCCAAGTTCTGGCCTACTTTTGATGTCATGGCGAACAAATACAATATGGCGCCCATTATAATATATTTCGTCGGAATCGCTGCTATTATTATAGCCAGCCCACATAGCGCCATCATCACCATATTTGCATGCTGCAACCATGAAAATTATAGAGAATTTTCGAATATGATTTGAAGTCACGCGAACAACTTAAAGAGGAATCATATTTGTAGGTTACTGTTTCTCGATCAGTCGGTACTAAAGTATTAATTGATATGATAAATTAACTTGCAAAACAAAACAAAAAAATTGTCTTTATTGAAGATTTAAGGCCCGTTCACTTCGTTGATTCGAGTTTATAATTTGAGTTGAAATGTGATTTTGTGTGAGAACTTTTTACTGTAGCAAAAAAGTTAGATGTGACTGTTTTTGAGAGTTTTTTACTGTAACAAAACTCGAATTTTAAACTCAAATCGGCGAAATGGACGGGACCTTAGACTTCTATCCGTGAAAAGTAGTCTTTAATGAAACTCATAGATTAAGTATGTCAAATCCATGGTTATTGACACACTTCCATGAGAATCATAAACATCCCATTCCTATGCAATTCTATTAAATTCTTCAAAGATTTCACTGATGGCATATAAGAACTTCGTGTGATGCTTCAATTTCCTAATTAATGATGAAAATGGTTGTAAGTGTGAATGTACTGTCATCGTTCAACTAGCACATTGGTTTTCCAAAACCATCTGTTATGATGAAAGTAGAGCAAAAGCACAATTACCTTGCGTGCCTTTGAGATAAATATTGACCATATCTTCAATAGCGCTATGTTTGCCGTCTGCACCAACTCATAAACTGTTCGCAGCCCATGTTGAGCCGATACCATGCTTTCCATCGTGCTCTGGTCGGAAGCTTTACAAACCACTATCTCATTGCACTTCTCACTCATTCTTTTCTTTCTTGCCGAAATCATTTTCGCTACCACCCAAAACAAGAAACCCGCTGTACCCTTTCCAACCCACTCCCTGCATTGGAAAAATATTTTATTAAGTACCATGTCTTCTAACTTTCATCTCTAGAAATCAACTGTGAGAATTATAAGGCGCGTTTGAAACTCGTTCTTAAATAATTTTATTTTTTTGTATGAAAATAAAAATGAAAATCAAAACGTTTTCAATCTCAGACAGAAATCATTTTTGAAAATGCGTTTGATAGTTTTATCAAGAGATTATTTTTAGTGTAAAAAATACATTAATGTCTCTCTCTCTGCTCGAGAGAAGAGAAAACGAAAATAAAAAATGAAAAACGACTAAAAGTCGTTTTTATTTCTCTCTCATTTTACACTAAACAAAAAAATCGTTTTCATTTCCGGTTTTTGTCTTTATTGCGCCAAACGCCGTTTTAGAAACGCTTTCATTTTTTCTTTCTCGAAAAACAAAAAGGGGATCAATTCCAAACATGGCTATAATGTTAGCTGTGTTTGGCAAGTTTTAGTGACTAGTAATGTATGATCATACTACAATGCTGCGCTGGAATGAAAATGAACTCACTTGTAGGCAATTATCAAAGATGCAGCAATCACGAGAAGGGTAGTTGCCGGTCTTTCCCACATAAGGACTTGTTGAAACCAAGGCAAGACAGTTTTGAGTACTGGCTTTAGTAGCTCCTACAGAGGTAAACAAGAATAAACATCCATAAGAGTCTCGTACGTAAGCAAGTGCGATAGATCTTTCAAGCGAATAAGTAAGGCAGTGAGTTTTCGTATAAACTCCCAAAAACAAAGAGGCTGTCAAGCTCTCTTTTTCTTTAACTAGGTTCAAACATCTTTTTTTGCCTAGAATAAACACATAAAATGCAGGGGTGGTAATTATGATAAGAACCACACTCATCATTTCTATCCTAGTATGAGGAAAGGTTAATGCCCCGTTCATTTCGCCGATTCGAGTTTAGAATTCAAGTTTTGTTACGGTAAAAAACTTTTAGAAACAACATACTAAACGGGTTCTAATAATGTTGCATCTGTTCTTTCTTTTTCTTTTTTTTTCTTCCTTTCGAAATAGTAGTAACGTAGTCATTAAATATCGGGAAAATGCGAGTAAAGTTGAAATCAAGGAAATAGCTGTCCCAGAGATCTAAGTATTAGATTAGATGCTTACTATCAAGACAAAGGTGCTATCGGTTATTCCTTCTTCTTTCAATTCTTCTGTGGTAGCTTTGGCAACAACAATTTCCTTTTCTTCCTCTCTAGCTTCATTTATGGCACTTTCCAATGATGAGATGTTGCCAACTGGACCTCCTAAACATTCTTTGCCAACTTCTTCTACTTCCGCACTCGAGACAATTGCTTTTCTTACATTCATCCGCCTAAGAGTTGCGCTAGCACTGCATGGATGTCCGCTATTCACCTTCTGAAGACTCTCGGCAAGCTTCTCGAGTACGTAATCTCCTTTTGCAATTTCATCGAACAAAGCAAAAATTAAGAACTTTGTTGGCTCGGGAGGTGATATCCTTAGCATTTCTCTTGCTGCGTGGAGTCTCAATACACCAAGTATTGTCCTCCCGTGCATCTCCCATGCTTGGATCGGGCATTTCACGTCATATGCGGATAAAAACCGGTGCAAAAGCAGGATCTCCTTCGTCAGTGCAAGCCAATGATCGCGTCTTGTGGAGCTTGTTAGCTCTGGAAACTCCAGTACAATTCCCTCAGGTCTGAAAAATTAAAAAACAAAAAAAAAAAGTTCAGAAAAACAAGAACATCAAACCTATACAATTTGGTAATGGCAAATTTCCCTCTATCATCAACTATAATTGGCCATTTTTATTCTAAACTATCCCCGCGGTCTTCTCTAATAGGTTGCACGTTCAACAAAATTGAGAGAAAGAATAGCTCTGACGCATAGAAATCTGCTGTTATATTCTTTTTTTTAATTTAAATACAGCTTACAACTCAGATGATTCATAGAAAATGGCCTTGTCGAAAAGCGGGGCACCCCAAGGTCCTGTAGCCGCTGGTTTCACACTCTGCTCGTTGTCCTTTGAGAAGTCTATTTTTAGTGCATCTTCATATGTTAGCACCCCGGAGGCCTCAAAGTAAAGAGCATAGTTGGTTAATGTAAGTCTACCTGGAATCAAAGCCTAATTAATGGTTAGGAGAGTCAAATCAAAGTATTAGTCAATAAAAATGTAGCAATTTTAGTTCTATATAAATTGATGATATGAATCGAGAATAATCTCCATATGAACAAACCAGGCCAACTTGTCCCGCCAATGTGGCGTACTACTCGTTGCGAGCTAGCAGTTCCCTCGACATGCAATATGAATTCGTCATCACCTAGCTCCACACCTTTTGGTGGCGCTTGATTTTGCAAGTGTTTTATGGACCTAGAAAGTTGCACCAAAACCGCAAATCTGAAACAAATCGCTAGAACAGCCATTCCGAATGCGTATGGAAGCATTTACACTATAATATTTAGTATTTTGGTTGGCCATATTTACAGTCCTAAGACAACAGAGAACATTATATAAAAGCACAACAAAATATATAAAAGCAATGCAGCTGAGTTTCACTATGGGCAAGTTTTGACAAGGTAGTGTACACAACAACCAATGTATATGAACAACTTCTTTAGTGTTGAATCATCTAAATGGATTATTCCTCTGTAACATAACTTGATTATAGACGTGTCCCTTCAAAACACGGATGAAACTACAGAGGGAATTTGGTTAATTACTTGTCAATTTCCTTTAGAAATTTGTCATAAGCAGGAAAATGAAGTCGGTTTCTTGTAGGTGCGGTAAGAGTTTCGAAGGTAAATCTCCCGTTAACAACATCTGCAACAAGCGGAACCAACGATGCTAACCATACATACGCATCTTCTCCAGCACTTGGCTCATTATCTACCTGCAGCAACCCACATTGCGGGACAGACCAGTTAAACAGGCTGCTAACTTGTTTATGCAATTCATTGACTAGAAAAGCAATGCAGATTCTCTGTGTTGTCAGATAGACATATACAACAACAACAACAACAAGCCTTAATCCCAACTTAATTGGGATTGACAATATGAATTTCACTTTTTCACACGGCTCTGTTCGAAATTATACTTTCCTGAAGGCCTAGATCTAGAATGTTTTTCCTAACGACTTCGGTCCACGTAATTCTTAGTCTACCCCTCCCTCTCCTAGTATTAGGTATAAAAATGTCCTCCCAAGCACGGACTGGTGCTTCTAGCGGTCTACGTTGGACATACCCGAACCACCTCAAGCGGCCTTCGCGCACCTTATCTTCTATTGGTGCTACACCTACTTTATTACGAATAATTTCATTCCTTATGCGATCCATTCTCGTATCAGATAGACATATATAATTTGTCAATTATGATCTTTATACGAAATTCATCAAGTTCCGAAAAGCAATGCAGATTCTTAGTGGTATCAGATTGACAAAATAATATGTCCAAGTTTGATCTCTATATGAAATTCATCGAGTGAGGAATGGGATCCCTGGCTTACAAGAAGAGGCAGGATGTCTGAATAGAAAAGAGGGATGTCATCGTCTTCTTCCGATGTTGCTTTTGGAGGTCTCTTCCTATCTTCTCTTTCCTTAGCCACGTTTTCCTGCAAGATCAAACGTACATAAGACAACAGTTCACATAAACAGACTACATATATATATATATATATATATATATATATGTTTTGAATAATTTGTAATGCTTGACCAAGAAGATGACAAAAAATATTTCTGCATGAGCTAGAAATTCATGTTGTTTAAATGATCTATCAACAAAAGACCCATACAGTTTTGCAACCCATATATATACTGGCATTGCCAAATGGGAAGTGTAACATATATATAGGTGAGAGGTATACTATCACATATATCCAACCTAATATTAACATTGGATAAATCACCAAATAAATTTAGTTCTCTCATACTATTGTTAACACTTTTTCATCCCAAACTATTGTTACACCTTTCTGTCGCTAATGTGATGCTCCTGACATTCATTTATATTTTACGCATTGTTTTTTTTTCCCATTAAATGAGACAATAATTACTTTCACTAGTATAACAGAAGCTGCATATGTTTGCCAAATGCCAAAGTTGAGGATTTTTTTTTTTTTTTAGTTCTTGCATTCTTCTAGAATGAAGTAAATGCTAAATGTGGAACCATCACCTGCAACTTCTCTTTTTCAATAAATTCTGAGTATACATTAAAAAACTATAGTAAGAAAAATGTAAATTGCTTTGGAGAGACCGCAGAGTCCCCGTTTCATGTGTCAAGTATTCTAGACACTAATCAACATCAACCAAATATACATACATACATATATACATGTATACAACTATACATATACTGTTAAAGTAATAATTAAAATTATTGTTGGCCCACCTCCTAATAACTTAAGTTTTTAGGATGGATTGGTAAACTAACATGGTAGGAGGTTCTGCGTTCAAACATCGGAATTACACTCTTTATTCCCATTTAAAATTATTATCATGTATTAGGTTTTTAATATATCTCGAACTTAAATATTCACGTGTTGAGCTTTCTAATTATTTATTAATTTACCCACACGTACTTACATATATTTCAGACTTAAATATTCACACTTAAATATTCACGAGTTTTCTAATTATTTACTAATTTACCCACACGCACGTGAGGGGAGTGTTGATCCACCTTCTAATAACTTAATAACTTGACTTAAATTTTCACAAACACCTTCTAATAACTTAATAACTTGACTTAAATTTTCACAAACACCTTCTAATAACTTAATAACTTGACTTAAATTTTCACACTTCAATATTCACGAGCTTTCTAATTATTTACTAATTTACCCACACGTACCTACACACGTGACCTTCTAATAACTTAATAACTTAAAAGCTCGTTTGGTTGAAGGATTCATAATTCATAGTTTGCTACAGTATTTTCTCTTAAAAAAATAATGTAAATTAAAAATGGTTTTAATTTTATAGTTTAAATACATGTAAATTAAAAATGGTTCTATAAGATAATTCTATAATCCATGAACTAAAGGGTAATAAGTTGTGGGATGGATTGATAAATTAATATATATATATATATATATATATCTCACACAATGTTAAATTAATATACCGTACGACAGTCTTCCTCGGCGGAGGTGGGCATTTGCCAGGCAAGCATGATATCGAAGGTGAAGCGGCTAAAGGAACCATCTTCAATCTTCTCTTCTACTTTTTGGCAAAACTCCTTCACAGCCTCGGCGCTACAAAATTCCACAAACTTCCTCGAATAACTCCCGCCATTAATATTACTGTCCTCGACCTTCCAAACTAAACCTTCAAACTCCTCCACCAATTTCTCCACAGAACTCCCCAGTTTCCTGCAATGAATATTTTTTTTCTCATAAATCATATACAAAAAAATTCTGTCCGAACTTCATGAATTTAATTCAAACTAATTGTAAAACGGTGCATGTGATGATGTATTTATTACAAGGCGCATCTTTGAACGACGTCGTTGGCGATGGAGGATAGATGTTTTATTGATCTTGTTGCCATGATAAGTATATTCTTTGTGTTTCGTTTCGTTTTGTTTTGTTTTGACGAAGTGCAGAGAAATAAATAGAAACTGATTAATGTGATGTACGGAAGTAAAATTAAGATGATATGGTTGAGAGATAGAGAGGGAGAAGAGGAGAGTGAAATGTGTTTGTGTTTGAGACCTGCCACGTTTGGATGGACATGCAACGTAACACCTGTTTCATGCTCCTCATTTCCCTCATCATCCCTTAACGGTTGGGTAACTTGGTGTGCCTACGCTAGCTTGTCAATGGAGTTGGGTGGGGCGGGTCGGGTTTTTAGCTGACCCGCACCGCCCTGCGTTTAGACTCGCCTCGCTCCGTAATGACCCGCACCATATTGTTTAGTGGAGCAGTGCGGCTCAATAACCAGCGGGTTTGTGGAGTGGGGCACTGTCTCGCAACCTTTTTTTTTTTTTTTTTTTGGGGGGAAAGGGGGAAATAGATTAAGACTTGGGATGAATTAAAATTAATAGGCTAATAGTTTACATAAGTTAATAAATAGGTCAAATTACTGTTTTCGTCCATAACTTATCTAGTTATGAACCATAACTTGACAAGTTACTCACGATTTTTGTCTATAACTTGTCTGGTTATGAACCATAACTTGACAAGTTTATCCATAAATTATCTGATTATGAACCATAACTTGACAAGTTATGGCCTATTAATTTCTATAACTAAAAATTGACCTATATACTTTCTTAAACTTTTCATATTGGCATATTTTCTACTATTTCCCCTTTTTTTGGGTGGAAAATAAAGAAAGATAACTTGACATTTTAGATGCATTTAGAACTCGTTTTAAAATGATTTTATTTTTTTATATGAAAATAAAAATGAAAACATTTTTAATCTTAAACATAAATTATTTTTAAAAATACGTTTGGTAGTTTTATCAAGAAATTATTTTTAATATAAAAAAATCCGTCTCTATCTCTCCCTCTCTGGAGAAAACAGAAACAAAAAATGAAAAACGACTAAAAGTCGTTTTTCATTTATCTCATATTTTACACTAAATTAAAAAATCATTTTCATTTTCTTTTTTTGTCTTTAATTATGCCAAATGCCGTTTCTCTCCCGTTTTCATTTTTTTCTCAAAAAACGTGAAAAATTAAAAAACTCCAAACACAACATTTATTTTTGAGACTAAGACTAGTAAATTTTATTTTTATAAGAAAAAAAGCAAAAAAAGAAAATAAAGACTCAATTTTAAAAATCACCGGTAGAATTTAAAAAAGAAAAACATATGCCAAGAAACAAAAATTACAAATTAACCAATGCCCATAAACAAATTGATAATAACCAAAAAAAAAAAAAGAAAAGTGTCAACAAAAAAATAAAACCAAAGAAATAAAATTATTAGATTAACCAAAAATAAAAAAGAGCTCACATTTCAAGATCCTCCTCGACATTCTCTGAAATCCTCAAACAAATATTTGATAATTTATATTGTATTGTATTATATTGTATTGTGTTATATTATTATAATACAATATTGTACTTGATGTCATGACGTATTATATAATGAAATAAATGTAAAATTTTAATAATTTTAGGGTCAAAATGTTTAAAGAATTAAGAAAATTGCTAAAAAGTTTTAATATATAATAAAGACAATTTAAATTGACGTTTAATAAACATACAATTTAAAATATATTTCATATTTAAACTATATACATCTAAAAATTAATTCAAATTAGAATTTAAACCACGTAATATAAAATTTTCTATTTAAAGCAAAAAATTTAAATTAATAAAATCCAAACCAACCGACCAAACCGGGACTACATAAACCGGAAGCGCGGGTCAGAGCTATGTACCTACTCGGTGGACATCTTCGCTGTCAACGTATTTCTTTCACCATTCCCCCCTTTTCTCTCTCTCTCGGCATACACGATGACGGACTCGGATTCCTCCTCTATCGTCCGCCTTAATATCGGTCAGCTCTCTCTCTCTCCGTGTCTTATGGTACAAGTATTTCGCAGATTCTTTGCAAAATCAAATTTAGTTTTTTTTTTTCCTCCTCTAATCGGTTGCTTCAGGGCGAACTGGGAACCCTAAATTTCCACTGCCTTGCTCGGAATTCCTTTAATCAGAGAGATCACAACGAACCCTATCTTCTGCCACTCGATTCTTTGTTTGTTTCCCAAGAAAATTGCTTAATAACAAGTAGAAAACAGTGGAATATTTGCTTTGCCGCTCCCTGTTTTTTCTTCTATTTTTTTTTTAAAAAAAAAAAACCTACTTAAGCCTATCTAGTAGCATTGACGTTACGTTGACTAGGAGATTTTATATTGTGATTTTGCTGTCAATTTTTCCTTGGTCTTCTCGGATACCAAACAGAGCTCTAGAGTTGGAATCATGGGAACACCGTTTGTTAATGCTCAAAACCAAATTATATGAAATGATGCTTTTCAAGGTTAATGCTCTGAAGTTTGCTAGATTGAAATTAAAATTCCTTTTAATATTTGTTACCGATTCAGTTGTAACTGAAGCAATGTGTACCTTATCTTTCGTTACCTTGGTGTGCTAATATTTTTTTCTGATCATAATACTTGTAATGCCACAAATAATCGATATTTTTTACTATTGTGTTTATCCCAATGAAGTTATAATTGTTATAGCTTTTGAAGAAAAAGAGATGGGGTTAATGATTTGTTTTAGAATTTTTGAAGAAAAAGAGATCGGGATGGAAGATTTGTTTAAGAAGGCTAAGTACTCAGCTTCGTTATGGCCATCATCAGACAAAGATTGCAAACAATTTCCTTTTACTCTGATAATCATAAATTGGAGGGGATGTAATTGGTTGTTAGTTTGTTTTCTGCTTTCTGTCATTGTTTCAACTTTTTAGTTTTCAGTTTCTGTTTTGTGTTTTTGTTCCCTGGCGATACGTTGTCCTCTCTCTTTATATTGGATTCATATCAATATAAAGTTCTTTCTTCTTGTAAAATCAATTGTTATAGCTTTTGTATTTGTTTTGATTATTTATCTGTATCTGCTCATCAGCTGATTTTTTTTTTTTTTTTTTTGGCAGGAGGGAAGAAGTTTTGCACTACTGTTGATACTTTGACTCAGCGAGAACCGTATTCAATGCTTGCTGCAATGTTCAGTGGTAGGCATACTGTGTGCCAGGACCCTGAAAAGGTATATACCTTGTATCGTGTTACATGTTTTCTTTATTTCCTTCCACTCCCTTCCTGAAGCCAATTTTGTATGCAATTACGATCTCTTTGAATAGTATAATACCATCGGTGAGATTTTGTGGTCAATGCATTACTTAGAAGACTAACACATGCATAAAGTGAAGTCGAGTGGTTTTTAAAGTTTCCATTTGTAGTCATCCAGATCCAGATCCTTCACATTTGTCTGCATTCATCTTTAAACCTGCCTATACATTAGTTTTGTTTTCTCTTTAATTCGTTTTGGCGTCCATTTGATGATGATGTAACAACCAAGAACGTTCACTAGAGAGAGAGAGAGAGAGAGAGAGAGAGAGAGAGAGAGAGAGAGAGCTAAACAATTATTCTAGTGTGAACGGTTGCTTAAACTACTTAAATTTGTATGCCCGATTATATTATTCTCATACATTAGTAATTTACTGTGTGATCTATATTATTTGTTAAGCTCATTTAGTGGCTTTTTTTTTTTTTTAATGGTGTTCCACTAGAAAATGCACGAGAGAGAGTGGTGTGGTGGGTGAGGGATCGTTGAATACCATTTATGTTTGCAATTTTGTGATTTTGTATAATTAAATAAGAACATACATAAGGTCTGTTTATGCGTGCATGCTTGTGTTTGTCTAAGTGTGTGGGGATACATTTGCATACATGCGTTATGTTATGCAGATTTTTTCATAGTTTTAACCCCTAGCAGCTAATAAATAAGTACATATGTCATAAAAGATGCTTTGTACATGGATTACTTGTCGAATGTTACTTCATTTATATGAACATATTCAGTTCCTCAAACTTAGTGAATTCCTGCAGGGATTTGTGTTTGTTGATAGAGATGGCAAGCATTTTCGACACATCCTGAATTGGTTAAGGGATGGTGTTGTTCCCATATTAAAAGACTCTGAATATTCAGAACTTCAGCGGGAGGCAGAATATTATCAGTTACTGGTAAGTGGAGTTTTGGTACTTTGCATTTTGTGTTTGCATCTGGCTATTGCGGTTTAAATTTTAAGTGTAATCTAGTTGATTTTCACTATTATAAAAGCGATGTCGAACAGCAATAATGATATTAACGAATTTATCTCTTCCCTTTACCATTTTGTTGCCTCGTTTCGGGATATTTGAAAATGCTCATTTCTTACGTGATATTAATAGCTGTAAAATATTCATGCAGACCAAAGATTTATAAGTTTATTATTTATAGTCGCTAATTTGTATTCTCACCTTTTTTTAAAACTGGTTCTTAATTTTTGATTACATATAGTAACTGAAATTTTGTGTTATATTCAAAATTTAGAACTATCTCGTCCCTGTAATAGCCTTGAATTACAGACTTCTTGGATCTTTTTGCGGTGCTCTATGTTATGCTCCTTCAGTAGATGCTTGTGGATTATGGACGATCAAATGCGAGCAATCTGTTTTAGCTGCAGAGCTGTCTCCTAAGCTTTTTAAATTTCTTGTTGTTAGAAACTTATAAGGAACCAATAATTCATTCAATTTCCTTAAAAATAAACTTGTAAGGAACCGATAGACCTATTCAGTCTTAAGTTTTCTGATAAGCCTTTACTTAGGCTGGTTTTCATTAGGAGGAATAAGAGAATGTAATGGTTCTGTTATCTATTACAGTGGTTACGGTGGGGGGTTAGGGGTAGTGAGCGATGGCGTTAGTTATTGATAGTTCAATTAGTTAGAGGTTAGTTACAGATTGGAGAGGAATAAAAATTGGTAAGAGGGGGAAAGAAAGGATTATGCTGAGATCAGGGAATCACTTAGGAAAAAAAGTCTTGGAAACTAATCCAAGCGGGGGACAATAGCAGACCCTCGAAGTTCTGCTAGTTGTACTACGTTCTATATTCAATAATAAAGTTCTTTCTAGCATTCTTCTACTTTCTTTTCTGTGGGTTTCAGTACCAAGTTTATCATTTTCCTAGGTCATTATCTTCATATGCTGGCATTGACAGGTCACTGTTTTTCAAATGTTGAAATCTTTGTTTTCTTAATTTTATTTCTATTTTCTACTTTAGGAAAGTCTTGACTAAACCTTTTTTTTTTCCCTTCCTTTCTGATCCGCAAGTCTGTTGAAATGATGAAGTTTATAGCTAGACTGGAGCTTAATATATTTACTAGACTGGAGCTTAATATATTTAAATATTTACATATGAGCATCTTTATAATTTTCAATTTCTTTTCACTAATCACAAATAAGTTCTGGCTATTTTTATATCATTCCTTAACATCATTGATATACAGGGACTTATAGAAGGAATCAATGCTGTCATCATAAATAAAAGGAAGGAAGATGAAGATCTAACTACTGAGCTAACACGTACAGATATCATCAAGTGTATACAATCTGAGAGAGTCAGATTTCGAGGCGTTAATCTTTCAGGCCTTGACCTTTCGAAACTGGTATATTTTTAGGGCCTTGTTCTAGATAGAACATTTCGAGCAGTAGAATTTCTCATTTAACCAGGATGAAAATTTCATCCTACTTCTTTTTTAGTATCATATGATTATGATACACACAGTTGCAAACACGTTACTTAGCTGGTGGGGTTCGCACAATCCTGCATCTCTGATGTCCTACTTAATGTTATCTTGTCATGGAACTGCAGGATCTGTCATATGTGGACTTCAGCTATGCATGCATTAGAAATGTATTCTTCTCACGTGCAAACCTACAGTGTGCTAAGTTCCGGGTGGGTTACGTTTCAATCATACATGATGCTAAGGCAGCTTAACTAATATCTTTTTAGCGTTTTGTGTGCAACATGGGAAATGTTTGTCTTTTTCATTGTTAAAGCTATAAGTCTTTTATTGATGATATCTAGGTGGTATATAAAACTGTACCATTCGTTATGTCTTTTGCATTGGTATCTGAATTATTTCTGTGTATTTTTTGTTACAGGATGTGGATGCTGAGGGAGCAATCTTCCATAATGCAACTTTGAGAGAGTAAGCCACTTGAAGGGTTACTCTCTTTCATTTGTTTATATTTTATGATAAAGTCTCTTAATGGTCTTTTTTTGTCTAGAAAAGATGTGAATTTACTGGGGCCAATCTCCGTGGAGCTTTATTAGCTGGTGCTAATCTTCAGAGTGCAAATTTACAAGGCAAAACTTTCTACTTCTGATCATCATTGAGTAATTGTCTTGTCATCTTTAACTGTTTTAGTGCTCAAGGCTTTATATTGTATTAGATTGTTGCATCATCTTATACACTTAATAGTTTATAGGAGCTTTTTTGTTTTGGTTTTGGTTTTTTTTTTGTTTTCTTTTTTTCATGTAGACTCCAATTGCATGCTGATCCACCACCAAAAGTTCCCCCTTTTGCGTTTTTCCTCTTGAGAAGTAAAAATATCCGCTGACTAATTGGTTGGTGACTTTGTTAGAATATCATAGCATCAGTTTTCAGCTGTTCTCTGAAAAGCTGTTGCACTGAAAGTAAGTGAGTTTTGGTATTATTATTTATAAGAAACATTGAAAACCTTATTAAATAGCAAATTATTACAAATGAAGTTTCAGGATGGATGAGGTATCCATTCTATAACAGAAAAAGTAAGTGGAAATACATAGTGAAAAAGAAATAATGTTGTTAACAAAAGACTAGACTAAGAGCACAAAACAAAGCTCCCATAAACATTTCTAAACCAAAATGTCTTCCCATGTTCCCACTAAGGGGGCGTTTGGCTCAGGGGTGGGAATGAGAATCTTTAGATTCCCATGTTTGGTATAATTATTAGACTTTTTTAAAACCCAGGAAAGTGAAGTCCATGGGTTTCACATTACCACATTTTGGGGTAATCCTAAACCCACCCAATAGGGTGTTATTTACTTTCCCAGGAAAGTAATATTAACCTCTCTCACCTCTCTCTCACCCATTTCTTCCCAGCCCCGCCGACCGTCTCTCGTCCAGCTTGGTTGAATCTCTTCCGTCGACCACGCCGCCGCCGGACATAGCCCTAACCTCCACAAAATAGTAGGTTAAAGTGTTTTTTTTTTGGCTCCTTTCCTCACAAGCTCTCCGGGCTGGTGCACGTTATGTAAGTACAATGGAGAGTCAGCTGACCATTTATTCCTACATTGCCCTTTTTCTTATCAGATATGGTCATTATCTTCTAAAAGAGTTGGCTTTTTTATGGGTGTTGCCCAGGAGTTGTGTTGAGCTTCTTGAATTTTCTCCCCCATCGGGTCCAACTCAAAGGAGGGTAATTTTGTGGAGGGTTGCAACATTAGCTCTTTGTTGGGGCATCTGGTTAGAGGGAAATAGTAGAGTTTTTTAAGAATTGTGAGGAAGTTGTCTCTGTCCTTTGAGATAAAATTAAATATTGGGTTTCGTTGTGGGTACATAGGGATAAAGAGTTTGGCCAGCCGTTATTTTCAGATTTTGTTAGGAATTGGGTTCTTTTTTTGTAGTCTCTTTCCTTTTTGTTCAGTTTTGACTCTGATATTTGTTATTTTGAACTTGGTCTGTTAGAGGAAAGCTCTTCCTCTGCTTTCCTTGTTCCTTTTTCGGTTCAATAAAATTCTCCGTTTCTTTTCACAAAAAAAAAAAAAAAAATCAAAGACAATGGAAGAGCCTGTTGAAGCCCATAGAGAGGCTAGAAACTTTGCCTTTTTAAATAATCCTCAACAAGCATCTCCTTATCCCCAAACATCCTTTATTTTCCCTCTAACCAAAGAACCCATAGTATGGCTATGTGCATTGCTCTTTAAATTGTTTGGGCCTTCTTGTCCCTACTAAATCAAATAAATCCTCCACCAATATTGAATTGCTTTGAGCTGGAAAGCTCAGCTGAGAGCAGCAGCGCCCAGTACTTTCCACCATAACCTCTGAGCCATCACATAATGAAGAACTGAATGGTCTGTCGTTTCTGCATTTGCCCTTGAACATAACATACCAGCTAGGACTCAAAGGAAAGTGAGGATGTTTTCTCTGCTCTAAGCCACAAGCGTTCAATTTACTTTGGTAAATAACCAAGTGACGACCTTAAATCTAATAGGAGTACAGGATTTCCATATGAACATACAAGCAAACCCACTCTTTTCTTGAATTACTTTTGTTTTTCCATGGGGTTTAAAGTAACTGAAAGCATCTAGCATCTATCCTGAATATTTTGGGTAATTTACTCAAGTGGTGGCTCTTCTATGTTCGAGTTAGCGGAATGAATCATTTACAAACTATACCATAGCTGTTTCTCTTGTGAAATAATAATAACGACAACTACAAAGGATGAGTGGAATAGTGGAAGCAAAGAAATCATAACAAACTTAATAAAAAAGATGTAATGAAGATTTGTTTGAATGTGAACCTTGATAAACTCCTAGAGATAACTTAGAATATATAAATTCTGCTTTGTCCTTCTCATTGTTCTTCAACTAGCCTGCGGATTGTAAATGTTGGGATTGCAATGAACTCGGTGAGGGGTCCAGTGCTAATAAAATATCAAATTTTAATTTTGCTTCCTCTTATTTCCATGGCTTGTTTTACCACTAATGATTTTTCCCATCCTAGTGGTACTTATAATGTTTTGTTCTTCAAACTTTTTTAGAGACCAAAGTAACTTTTGAGTATTTTTCCTAATCTGCCTTAGCAGAGTATTTGTCCTAGGTTATTTGAATTGAGGAGCTTAGCCTATTTTTCTTCTGCAGATGCATGTTTAATAGACTGCAGCTTCTGCCAGGCAGACCTCCGTTCTGCACACTTACAGGTGTAGATTCGTGCCTTGAATTATACCGTTTTATTACTCCGTATGCGCCTTGATAAGGTTTAATGGAATACCAATTATTGCAAACGAAGGAAGAAAAGGGGGAATGGGAGGGATGTTTTATTGAGATGAACTTTATGCTAAAAAAAAATGCTACTGGTTCGACATCCTCGTATATTTTGGGATTGTCCAAAACATTTTTCTTTTCGCCAACTAAACAAATTGTGTGGTCTACTCTTTTATGCTCTGGCATTAATTCCCTCAAGGCAGAACAATGTGACAGCTTATATATATACACATATATATATATATGTGTATATATATATATATTTTTTGCTTCCTATGGGGTGTATTAATATGTCTCTTGTTATTTTGTTTGATTTCACTAAATAAAAAGCAGTGGATTTAGTTTTAAAAAAATAAAAAATAAAAATTCAAACGTCAACTCTTGGGATCTTGTTCAATTAGGATATGCTATGAGTGTTAGGTGGGCAATATCTTGTAGAATAATAGGAGGTGGTTTAAGTATGAAAACTGATGTTCCATTTGTCTATCGTTTCATGTTTATACATATCAATCTTTTTCTCTTTCGTAGATCAAGTCTAACCTCTGTGAAGAAGTAATAATCTGATAAAGAAAAGTCCTGTTATTATGGGCATACATGTAGATTGATTTTCTTTTACCTAATAAAACTAAGGAAGAAAATTTATTCTGAACAGAAGGAAAACTTCGTCTACTTCAGATGCAAACATAATGTTTGAAAAGCCGTTACCATTGTATATTCATTTATTTACTCATCTTTTTTCTCAGAATGCTGATCTTGCAAATGCGAATTTAGAGGGAGCTATACTGGAAGGAGCCAATTTGAAGGTATAGATTATTAAGCATTATCAACTTGCATGTTAGAATATCACTAATAATAAAAAAAATGATAACAATAATAATGAATTGGAAGGATGTTATAGGAGGATAGATTTCTTTAGACTTTGATGTTACTGTGTTGTATTCTTAGACCTTCTTACTTTTGATTTTGCTCTAACGATTTCTCATCCTCTTTCCTTGTAACTGATGATTATCAATAAAAAGGTTTTTTCTTATCAAAAAAAGAAACATAGAAGACATAACTTCAGTTACTATATTAATGAAAACAATTGCATTAGAAAGGAAGTAGGGCTAAAGAAAATGGTGCATAAATGGAAGTTATTCTAAAGATGCCTAGACAGTTAAAAACTGATTTGTGGAACTAGGGCTAAAGAGGCCTAGTCAATTAAGGAACGAGGACCAAAGAAAATGGGGAGAATAATGTTGCACGTGTTGAGATATAGGTAGTTAAGGGGAATTACTGAAACTTGCACGGAAACAAATCTCTCTCTCTCTCTCTCTCTCTCTCTATATATATATATATATATATAGATATATATGTGTGTGTGCGCGCGCGCGCATTTGTCTATATCTATTACTGTGCTCTGAATTATGGTTCAGGGTGCCAAGTTGAGTAATACTAATTTACGGGGTGCAAACCTTCAACGAGCTTATTTACGAGAAGTGAATCTGAGAGATACGGTAAGTAAAGACGCTTGACGCATTCTTTGTGAATTTATTGCAGAATGAAATAGTCTAGCACATTTGTTTTTTTAACTTGTTATTGCGCCTCTCTCTCCTCCCATGGTCATACTGAGTCAGAATGCCTATAACTTGTTATTTTAATTTATTGATATTACGTACTAGTCAAAAAAACTTTTCCAAGTTTGAGTCTTTGTTATCTGATCTTATAATGCTTAAGATTCTGCGGGGAGCGGGTCCAAGAAAATGAGATATTTTGCATATATCTGCTGCCAAATAAGATGAAATTTCCTTAGATATCAATCAAATAACGACATGATCATAGATAATGGTGTTGTAATTTCAAGCCAAGTTTATAATTTCTGTTATATGGTTCTTTCAGCATTTGGAAGGTGCGAAGCTTTATGGTGCCAATTTACTTGGAGCAATCAGGTGATACTGGAGCAGTCGCATTTAGATACGTTTGAGTGGATTGCTGTTGCCTTTGTATTTGTGTATAATATAATCTTATGACACCCCCTTTTCTGGAAATATTATGTGCCACATGATGACTCTAGTAAAAAAATAAAAATTCAAAAATTCAAAAAAAAAACCAAAAACTATTGTTCTTTAATTTTTTTGTTAATATACTCTGCCTTGTAGATGAGTCTCGACTCCAATTTAACTGATTTGTAGATAATATCTTGCGACTCGTATAGCTTTCCAGCATTACTCTTAGCTCTTTTAACAATTTTTTAGATTTTATAATTTATAATTCCTTATATCTAACTGATTTCTTTGGGGAGAGGACTTTACGATCTTCAGTTCAATAAGATTGAAGATAGGAATGCAGTATAGTCTTAGAGAATGTATCGGTCTAAGCCTGCGATTTAACGGATGCAGCGGCGGTCGCCGGACTTCAATCTGTATCGTCAAAAATCTGCTTTCCAGCTACATGTTAAAATTTCTGAACAGGGTAATGAATGCTGGCACTCAAAATTTTAGCCTTTATGAAATGACTTAAGTCACGACTCAAATCATATACACAATTTAAGTCATGATTTGAATTATGTAAATAAACATATTTATCAGAAATTGTTGAGCGGTATCGGAACACCTTTTATAGTGGATCATAGAATGATTGAAGGATCTTTTGATACTTCGTTAAAGAGTATTTATCGATATTGAATTATCAAAGCTAGTGTCATGGTTGAGAGGAAATAATCACTTTTTATTTATTTATTTAATCTCTTTAGAAAATGAAAAAATCTCTTTTTTGGACCGCGTGCAAATTTGTTGTGCATGCTATTTTCCAATTGTAATGGAATAAAACAAAAGAGCAGAAGACTGCACTTAAAATACTTCCAACATAGTGGGAGGTAACAGAAATAATATATAATATTTAAGGAATTTCCAGAAATATTCTTAAAGTATTTAACAATACGTATGTATAAAATAATAAAAATTTATTTTATTAAATAAATAATAAAATATCTTATTATATCACATGTTTTAAGGGTATAATTTCTAACAGTTCATTCTTGGATGAAAAATGCAAATGCAACACGCCGAAATAATGAACATTCCATTAATAACTTAATTTACAACTCAGTATGGATTTAAACTCCTCAATACTCCCTCTTAAAACAAGACGCTTATGAATTGTAATTTTTTTATAGACTTGATCAGTGAGATTCCTTCCATTTATAATGTCAAAATCCTTGCAACTAAGTTTTTTCCTAAAAAACTCAACCCCATCTCTAGAAGAATTATAAAGATTACAAATACTCAACTTTATCTCTCAAACCCAGAAAAATTAATTACAAGGCCTACAGAAAATAAAAAAGATACTTTTTTTAAAATAGACAAAAAAAGTACTGCTAATAAGATCTTCAAAACATTTGCGACACTTCAATCTGTTGCAGTAATCATTGCAACAGAGTTGTCAAAACTGCTGTAAAAAAAAACTGATAATCAACCATATTAATTCTTAAAATCTTCTCATAACTGTCATATGAACCTAGACGTATTCTTAGAAAGCATATGAGAATAAGTCAGTTGCAATATCACATCTAAAAATCAATCACATCATCAATCACTAATTTACCAAACTTGAACCAAAATTTGACTTTCAAAATAAATAACTTTGTGAAGTTTTCATATCAGCACAAACTTTTCAAACCACTAAACCGAATATCTCCAGCTATCAATTTAATTTCCATCAAATTTCAACTTACCAAAAATGACTAAAGTTGACCTTCACCAAATCATATCAAAACGAATGACTTTAAATAGTGTCTAAATAATCAAAATCTTTTAAAAAGATAAAATCAACTGCCATAAAATCTCTAATTAGATCAATCACAAATCATGCTCAAAATAATGCCAACATCAAATTCAGAAAATAAAAATCATCAAAAACAAGATCCCAACACATATCAATTAATATTAGAATCCCATATTAGCTGAAAATATTAGTATGATCCACTTAATAAGGTGAAGGCAATCCTCCCTTAACAAGCCGATTTTTTTAGTTGAGTTAGGCCCAATATCCTTTGATTTCTATAAAATGGTATCAGAGCAGACTCAGTTTTACAATGTTGGGTCCCCCAATATCGACTTATTCGCAGCGGTTTGGCATGATCCACGCTGTGCGTGAGGGGGCGTATTAGAATACCACATTGACTGGAGATATTGGCATGATCTACTTAATAAGGTGAGGGCAATCCTCCCCTAACAAGCCGATTTTGTTAGGTTGAGTTAGGCCTAATATCCTTTGATTTCTAATTTTGTTAGGTAGAATTAGACCTAATAATATTTGAACAAGCCGATTTTGTTAGGTTGAGTTAGGCCCAATATCTTTTGATTTCTAATTTTATTAGGTAGAATTAGACCTAATATTATTTAATTTCTGTAAAAATTAATTCATCTTTTTCAACTTGAGCAAAAAAATTTAAAAGTTAACTCTCATCAAATCAATCCAAATTGATTGACTTTAACAGTTTTCAAGTAACAGAAACTTCCCAAAATAATTTTCCGCGGCCAACCATTCTTCAGTTAGATCAATCATCAAATCAAACCAAAAAAACCGAAAATCACAATCAAATCCGAAAATCTGACTTATTGCAATGAATAGTTAAAGCTACCGAGTTTTCTTTCTAAAAAAACAAAAGGATCAATCCAAATTGATTGACTTTAACAGTTTTCAAGTAACAGAAACTTCCCAAAATAATTTTCCGCGGCCAACCATTCTTCAGTTAGATCAATCATCAAATCAAACCAAAAAAACCGAAAATCACAATCAAATCCGAAAATCTGACTTATTGCAATGAATAGTTAAAGCTACCGAGTTTTCTTTCTAAAAAAACAAAAGGAAAAAAAAATAGGGTGAAGGAAGAAGCTTAGGTGCGATGTATTTTTTTGAAAAGCAAAATCTATTCCTATCGCCCAAGTGAGAATCGGTTTTTTTTGGGGGGGCGTGCTCTTCGTTGCCTACTATTTCGTTACCCCACCTTTTTTAACTTCATTAGTTTTCTTTTTCTTTTTCTTTTTGTTTTGCTATTCTTCTTTTTTCTCCCTTGATTTTTTTATTGCATCTTTTAAGTTTTAATTTTTTATATAGTTCAAATATATCTCATTTAATATTTTTTTACGATTATTTAAAATATTTTATTTTAATTATTCTATTAAATTAATTTGTTTTTAAGTGTGTCCTTACAAAAATATATTTTGCATATAATCCTTATAAATTTCAATTTCAATTCTGAAACATTTTGCGCAAATTTTTTTTTTCTATCTTTTTCTTCAAATTTTTTCACTTCTATTTTTATTTCTTTTATTCTTTTTTTTTTCCAACTATTTGTATCATGGTTGTTTTAAATGAGTCTCCTCACGTTTTTTACTTGTATTCCTTAAAAAGCGGAATTGACATTTCGCAATCGACAAAAATATATATATATATATATATATATTACAATGAGATGCCAAATAAAGGCTTCAATGGCAATTTTGTAAGTGACTAAAAAAGAAAAGCTTCTCATAACAAAAAGAAAAAGATAGTCTCCAGACTTGTTCAGTGACAATTATGTAATAAGTCATAACAAAAGGTACTCAAACAGATTTCAGGATTGTTTTGTTATAGTGACTTGAGTAATGATTTTCAGTTGAATTTGAGTTATAATTTGAGTTGAAGTTGTAACTTGAGTTTATGTGTTTAGATGTGCATATTTGAGTTATAATTTGAATTGAGAATCTATTTGAGTTTGTGTTTAGGTGGGTCAAAACTTAAATTTGTATTTCATTAGTATTTTAATAAAAACTCAATGGTAATGAAAAATTTTAATAGGATATATGGGTGAAGTTTTATTCGTCTTTTCACTGTGAATGCATAGAAAAAAAAATCATTTCAATCAGAATTAAAACGAAAAAGTTATGACATTTTTAAGAATAGAAAAAATAATATTCAGGGCTTGTTCTTTTGATATTTTTGAGTTAGATAATTTGAGTGTAGATTTTGAATTGAGTTTGAGTTATAACTTGAGTTGAAATTATAACTTGAGTTTGTGTTTGGTTGTGTACATTTGAGTTATGGTTTGGATAAGAATCTTTTTTGAGTTTGTGTTTGAGTAAGTTAAAACTTGAATTTATTTTTAGATAGTATTTTAATAAAAACTCAATGTTGGTGAAAAATTTTAATAGGGTATATGGGTCTAGTTTTATTCGTATTTTCGTTGTCAATGCATAGAAAAAAAATCATCTCAATCAGAATTAAAACGAAAAAGTTATAGCATTTTTAAGAATAGAAAAAATACTGTTCATTAACTTGAGTTCGAGTTTCTGAACTCGAGTTGAAGGGAAAACTTGAACTCGAGTTTTAGTTCCAAACTCAAGTTTAAACTCGAGTTCAAATTCGAGTTCAAACTTAAAAGAACATGAACTCGAATAAAGTTATAACTCGAGTTACCTTTTTTTGAGTTTTTCACTCAAAAACTACATTGCCGAACAAGCCCTCATTAACTTGAGTTCGAGTTTATAAACTCGAGTTGAAGGAGAAACTTGAACTCAAATTTAACTCTAAATTTAAATTTAAACTCAAATTTTATAAAAAAACGTGAACTTAAATAAAATTATAATTCGAGTTTAAATTTTTTTTTAAATTTCATTCCAAAAAAACAACCCTATTTACTTGTTAAAAAGAAAATGGCGGTGATGTAATTAAAACTAAAAAAGGTGGTCTATAAATATGCTTCTTTTTATACGAAAATAAGATGCTACATGTAGAAAGTAAAAGTGATATAGACGGTGGAAGTTATTGACTATAATAGAATAATATATAACTTGTTACGAATAAAAATTTGAAATAAATTGATAACTTTAATTTTGTATTATGAGCAATTTATTGCTTGAAGATATTGCTGCCGATAGGGACAATAAATTATCTTTTTTACTGAAAATGACAACAAATTATCTAGTTTGTCGGCAAAAATATAACCGTACGCGTGTCAAACGATGGAACGACAAATAAATAATGAGATGCCATTCTTTCTGGGAAATGATGTTGATTAAAGTATGGGGATTTTTTTTCTTTTTATTCCAAGGTTTAACTCACATCAAAATAAAAATTATGCTGAATGTACGTATTCTGATACGGTACAATTACGGTTCAAAATGAAACTCTAATTTATAGGTACTTTTTCATGTGTACTGTAAAATGTTAGGTTTGGACCCTTTTGCATTATACCGACGTTGCATAACGTTTTTTTATTTTTATTAATGTTTGTTCCACTTCCTTAAATTATTATATTTTTCTATTTTCTGAGTGCAAATATTTTTCAATAATGTATCTCTATTAAAATATTTTTATTGCAATTCTCTATATATTTTAGATTAATGATCTATTCTTTTTACGAGTTTGAGTTAAAAAAATAAATTTATATGAGAGAAAATATTTTAGTAAAAAATTTAAAATTGTTTGAATCACAACATTTTCTGAAATAATTATTCTCAAATATGCTCATAGTTAAAAATCTTTTTTCTTTTTATATTTTGTACACCTTAATTAGTCTTTTCACATATGTTCTTAGGGAAACATCATTTTCTTTTTAATATGTACACTCTAATTAGTTGTCTATTTGATTTTATGTTTTAGAAAATAATACTTTATTCTCACAACACCATATAATACTACTCTTGTTCTAACTTAAAACAAGTTAATGTAATCACCAAATTTGGAGTACTTCTAGCTTGGATCATTTAAAAATATAATTCTTTTTTATTTTTATTTTAATTTGTTAGTTAAAATTTTGATAGAAACTCTTAATAGATTATACTAGTGCACTTATAATTAATTTAAGATATTTTTTACAAATTAATGAAAGTAAAAAAAAAAATGTATTATCGCTAAAATAAATATAAAATAATTAACACTAAATAGTAAGCACAAATTTTACTATATATGAAATCAATTTTTTTTGTAAGATCATATCATACCATATAAAAAGTAAAATACTTTGGGATAAGAGTACTGTTAGTGTAATGAATAATATTTTCTTCATTCTTAAAAATGTCATAATTTTTTCGTTTTAATTTTGATTGAGTTAATTTTTTTTTTATGTATTTACAACGAAAAAACGAATAAAACCCCACCCATATAGCCTATTAAAATTTTTCATCCCCATTGAGTTTTATTAAAATACTATCTAAATATAAATTTAAATTTTGATCTATCCAAACACAAACTCAAAAAGATTATCAATTTAAATCATAACTCAAATGTGCACATCTAAATATAAATATAAATTTTAATTTTAATTCAAATTATAAGTCAAATTCAATTTAAAATTATCACTCAAATCATTTAATTCAAGAATATAAAAAAAAAAAACAACCCTTAAAATACTTTGGATAAGAGTACTGTTAGTGTAGTGTTGAACAGGAAAAGTAATAATAAAAAAAAGGCTTCTAGCATTGTTGTAGAAGAAAAAGGTAAGAGAAAACCTGTACTGACTTGACTTTAATAATGGTTGATGCTTCCACTTGTCAGAAGCACGTGAATTTCTCTGTGGGGGGTGGGACCTGACATGATGAGATCCTGCATATAGGCCGCATTCAATGCCCTGACGGTCGGGCTTCTTTATGGCAAAAAGATTATTATCAAGACTCAAGATAGTCCGTGAACTTTTATATCAAATTTCACTTTCGTTAATAAAATTTAAGGTAATTCTTTATGGCAAAAGATTATTATCAAGAATCAAGATAGTCCGTCCAACTTTTATATCAAATTTCACTTTCGTTCATTCCGGTGGTGGTCAAAGCAGGTCATATTTTAATTTTTTTTAATTTTGGTAAAATAATTCTAAATTCTTAAAACGTTGAGTCATTTATAATGTAAATTTTGTGATCTACCTTTTCGTTGAAAGTACCAAAATACCCTTAACTAAAAACACACTCATATCTATTTTAAATTAAATTAAGCAATGATTTTTTTTTTTTTTTTTTTTTTTTTTTTTTTTATGAAAAACCATATGAACATAAATTGAATACCTTCCAAGGCCAAGGAATAATTTCTTTTTCTTGGGTTTTCATGTGAGAGGCCTTTCACAAAATTACTAAACATATAAAGCAAAAACATACCTTTTTTTGTGAAAATATCTGCGTGTCTTTATTTTAAAAGTTTTGTATGGTTTAAATTATGATTCTTAATTTTATTATAATATTTTTTTCATAAAAAATTTAACTTTCGAACGTCAGAATCATAAATTATAATTTGAATCTATATATCAAACGAACCTTAATACTTCTTGAAAAGATTAAAAATAATTTCTTTTGCAAGACCAAAAAAAATATAAACTACTGTTAAGTTTTTACTTTTAATTATTAAATTTGTATAAAAAATTATTTATTCCGTTTACTTTTTTAATTTAGTAGCCAGACCAAAGTCTGAAGATAAAATAAATAGCTTATGTATTTCACATCTTTTTGTGAAAGGTATTCGCATTCCTTCTATAAAAATCAGATATTGACTTCTATCTTTTTTTTTTTTTTTCCTGAAAATAATTAATGAGCAATTCTTATCCGCACAAAAATGGGGCACCGGTTTTTTCTCCTTCTATTATGATGGGTTTTAAAGATCTTTTTCTTTCCTGCTCTATTAATAGATTTCTCTAAAGATGAAAAGAATAGAGACGGAATCACGACAATATCCTTTCAATTTTAGAATAAAAAATAAATAAATAAATCTTATCTACACGTAGAAGGTACTGGTAGACCCCATAAATCGCTACCCCCAAAAACATTTACCTCTTTTTCGCCGCGTGCACGTACGCGGGGCATTTTCGTAATAACAAAAACGCGTATTCTACGCTTCCTCTACAAGTTATGCCTTAGAAAAAAGGAAAAAAAGAAAAGAAAAGAAAATCCGAATCCTTTTGCTTCGGAAAAATACGCCTATAAATTAGAACCTTCTAGCCCCCCCATATCCATTCATTCATTAGCATCAACAACACATTCAAGAAAAATCAACGAAAGCTAGGAAACCACCAACTATGGCAGGAATCATCCAAAAGATCGGAGATGCTCTCCACGGCGGAGGCCAGCACAAAGAGGAGGACAAGCACAAGGCTGAGCACCACGGCCACGTCGGCGAGCACAAGAGCGGCGAGCAGTACAAGACCGGGCACCAAGGCGCCGAGCACCATGGTGAGCACAAGGAAGGGGTCATCGAAAAGATAAAGGACAAGATCCATGGCGACGGCCATCAGAGCAAGGACGGCGACAAGAAAAAGAAGAAGAAGGAGAAGAAGAAGCACGGGG